GACCCCCCCCCTTGCTGGAGGGGGGTGCCCTCCAGACCAGCACAGCCTGGGAAAAGTGGGTGCAGGCTGTGCAGGTGACTGAAAGGAGCAAAGCACAGGTGAAACTGATTGTAATTGACCGATCTTACGTAACCTAAAATCTCCAAAATACGGTTATTTCAACGGGCATCAGTGAGACAGTCCACACCTTTTCTCCTGCTCAGGCCTCCCCCCGGCCCCCACCTCCAACAGGGCAGGCCGGGCCAGCAGGGGCCCACATGCTGGTGCAGCTCTGGGTTCTTGCTGGGGTCCCGGAAGCTGTGAGAAATGCAGGTGTCCCCCCCAAAAAACCCACTGGTCGCCCCCTGACCCCAGGGCTCCTTGAGTTTCCAAGCCTGGGGCTGGGGCCCTTGGGAGGGGCGGGGAGATAAGCCCAGGAGATGTCTCTTTACAAAACACGCATAACTGAATGTTTCCGCTGTTCCGTGCAATGGGTCGATGCATGTGGACAAGCGCATGTGCTGTTCCAGCGACAGCCGTGGCCCCTGTGACCTCACAGCCCCCACCTGCGCACACACAGTGAGCCTCGCCCACGAGGTCCCCCCCTCCTGCCCAGACCCCGTCCGGGAGCTCCCAAGGCCAGCACCGCCCGGAGGCTCCGGCCTGGGCCCGCATGACCCGGGGTCGGAGCAAGGCCCCTGGCTCAACAGCAGGAAGCAACGACCCCCAAGGCGCTGACACAGGAAGCTTGTCCTTTTCCCCCGTGGTCTCTTCCCCAACTTGCCGTTCACTCACACTTGAACGTCGTTCTAAGGAAAGAAACGTTAAATGTTAAGGCCATTATAGAGCATGCCACTGTGTGTCTCTACACTGAGCAAGGAGAGTCTATTTATTTGCTTATTTATTTCTTCTAAAGGTTTCATTTATTTATATTGGGGGGCAGGGAAAGAAACATCACTGTGTGGTTGCCTCTCGTGCGCCCCCTACTGGGGACCTGGCCTGCAACCCAGGCTTGTGCCCTGACTGGGAATCGAACCAGCGACCCTTTGGTTTACAGGCCGGCACTAAAACCACTGATCCACACCAGCCAGGGCTACTTTTTTATTTTTTAATTATAGTTTATTGATTATGCTATTACAGTTGTCTTGGTGGGGCAAACAGCGTCAGCCAGGTTGGGGGGAGTCTCAGATGTGGCGCCTGCCTGCCAGCTCTGTGGGGGGGAGGGCTCAGGAGAGGGACAGCGGCCTCTGCCGACTTCTCTGTCTGGGAGACAGCTCCCAGCTGTGATGTCAGCCCCTTCACGTCCTCCCTGGGTGCCCCGGGTGCCCTTGGAGCTGCTGCCCCGGTGCTGGGGCTCGGAGGAGGGAGCCTGAGGGCTGGGTCTGGGGTGCGTGCTCTCAGAGGACCTGCTCCGGACTCCCCAGGCTTCTTCCCCCGACTCAGTCCCCCCCCCACCCCCGGTCACTGCGGCCAGAGGTTGTGGGGGCCGATCTCCCTGGCTCTGGAACCCTGAGCTGGGGGCCTGGTGTGGAGCGGGGGCTCCTCACCCCCAGGATGTCCCTCCCGAACGTCCATCCCACCGCACACGGCTGTGGGACCAGCTTGTTCTGCGTCTGCGCCCCTCCTACCAGTCTGCGTGGGTGTGGTTCCTTTGATTCTGTGGTTGTCAGGCTTCCACTCAGCTTGGTTTCTGGCAGTCCTGAGTGATGGTCGTTCTGCATGTTAGTTGTAATTTTAATGTGATTGTGCGAGGAGGTGAGCTGTGTTTACTTATGCTGCCATCTTGACCGGATGTCCTCCCCACACCGCTCCCCAAAGCCAGCTTAAATGCAGGCGTCTGAGCCCCAAGCTCCCTGCAGACGCTGAAATCACACAGTCTGCGGTACGTGGCGTGTGGGCTGTGCGTTCGGTTCTTGCCGGAACAGTGGAACGCGGCACCAAATGGACTCAGCTGTTTTTAGTTTTCATTGTGGTAAAAGGCACATAACATAAAATGTGCCATTTCTGCACTTTTAAGGTAGCAGTTCAGCAGCATTAACGACAGCCACACGGTTGTGCAGCCCTCACCACCATGGCCTCCAGAACTCTCCATCTTCCAGACCGAAGCTCCGGCCCCAAGAAACGCTCTCTCCCCACCCCGTGCCTCAGCCGCCGGTCCCTCCCTCCTCCGTTCTGTCTCTTCTGTCTCTGTGGGTGTGACGCCTCCAGGGCCTCGTACCCGTGACTCCTGCAGGGTCTGTCCTCCTGCGTCTGGCTCCCGCCCCCGAGCGCCACGCCCTGGAGGCGCATCCCCGCTGCACCAGGTGCAGGACCCCTCGCTCTTCAAGGCCGAGCCACCTTCTGTCGGGTGCGGGGACCGCCTGTTCTCCATGCATTCCCCTGTGCAGGACACCGCCACGCCCCCGGTGTGCAAACACTCGTGCGAGGCCCTGCGCCCGGCCCCGGGACCCGTGCGAGGAGCGGGCCCCCGCCCGGGTCAGCAGCCGCTCCAGGTCCGGCGCCCCAGGGACCCGAGCAGCGGCTGCGCCATCCTACCCTCCCGTCAGCGGGGCGCGGGTGCCGCTCCTCCACGGCCTCGCGGCACTTGGGGTTTTCCGTTTCGGGGAGGAGCTGTCCTGGCGGTTGTGAGGTAGGGGTGCAGGGTGGCCTTGGCTCGTGGTCCCCCCAGGTTCTCCCTGCCCGACACCCGACTCCCGGCCACTGGTGACCGGCCCTGCCCCTCAGCCCCTCTCCCGGCTGCTTCTCCTGACTTGGGGCAGCCACCCGCTCCTCCTGCCCCGCCCCTCCCTCCCAAACCCCAGCCCCCTCCCCCGCCCTGGTCCCCACTTGAGTCCCTCCAAGGCTCCTCCTTCCTCCTCACCAGTTTTCCCCGTGACTGTGCCCTGAGCACATCTGTGGCACCCACCCCCGCCCCCCCGCCCATGGGCTCTGTGGACCCCTGCCAGGCAGCCAGCTCCCGTTCCCCTGGTTGCCTGGGGCTCAGGCCGACCTCTGGGGCCCACCCATGCTGCTCCCCCTCGAGTGCTCCGCGTGGTGCGGGAGATCTCTCGCTGTGATGAACGCCCGAACGACCTGCCTCCGGGGCTTTGAACCACCCGGGTGCAGCCTCCTGCTCTCCGCGGGCCCGAGGGCTGGCGTGGCTTAGCTGCGTGTCCTCTCCGAGGTGCTGGGTGGGCTTCCGTCTCACTGGGACGGTCGGCCGAGAGCTCCCGTCCAGGCTCACCGAGGGGCGGCGGGCCCAGGTCCTCGCTGAAGGGGGCTTCTGTCCGCTCCAAACCACTTGGGCCTGTCCGTGGGGCCATTTCTGGCAGAGCCTGGGACTCAGCCCCGTGGCCCACGCCGGCCTGGAACAAGGATCGGGGAGTCCAGCCCGCTCCAGGGATCATGACCCCCTCCACGTCCCCCTCTCCCTCGCCCCCACCCCGGCCCTCATCACGGTGGCCCTTCTCATGGACCTCTCCGCCTCCACCCGGCAGGGCAGCCAGGAGGCCTGGGGTGACCTCAGGCCTGTCCCAACGCAGCTTGCCCCAGGCCGCCCCAGGGGCCTCACTCCGCTGTTCACTCCCCAGCCGAGGCCCCGGGGCCCTGGCCCGGCCCGCAGCTGAAGAGGCAGCCGGGTGCAGGGGGAGGCAGGGAGGCCCCTCCCCCCAGTGCTCTGCCCTGGGCACAGGACCCGGGTTGGGGACCCGGCTCAGCCTCAGGGCCCCCCAGAGCTAGGGCACGTGGGGTCAGGCGGTCAGCGGGTCCTGGTCGTGGGGGCTGCTCCGAGGGTCACAGTGGCCGTCACCCCAGGCCCAGGGTGTGACTGGGCGGATGGACTCAGCAGTTGGGGCCCCGCCTGAGCTAGGTTCTCAGCCCTCGTGGTGGGGACACCCAAGTGGAGATTCAGGAACTGCCCCACCCTGCTCAGACTGTGAACGGACAGAGGGCTACACCCTGGGGTGCTGACGTCGCAGAGACGGGTGCCCCCTCCAGCCCCAGCGCCTGCAGGTCGCTGTCTCAGCCCCATTTAGTCCAGACCGGCCCCCATGGAGCCGGAGGTCCTGGCAGCGACCGGATGGCCGCAGGCCTGGCGGAGGGGCCACCACACCGAGTGCTGGGTGGCTCCAGGGGCCTCGGGCCGGGGCCAGAGTGAGGCCCGCTGCCTGGGGCCTGGCCCTGCCCCCCCCCCCACGGTGGGTGGGCGGGGTGGGCTGTGCAGGGCTGGGGCAGGAGCAGGAGGGCTGGCCCGCAGCGGCCCCGGGGGCGGTCTGTGCACCTCGCCCCACGGGTCGGGGCTCTGCCGGCCAGCGGCCCCCAGAGGCCAGTCTCTCCAGGGCACACAGCACGGGCCGCGCTGCCCGGGAACCGCAGGTCAGCAGGGCGGCCAGCCCTGCCCGGCAGGAGTGGGGGCTGAGTTCTCCCACGCTGCAGCGTGGCCACAAGTGGACGGAATGGCGGAGGCCAGACGGAATGGCGGAGGCCAGACGGCTGGGGGCTGGGGTCAGGGAGGAGTCACCCCCCGGGGTGCTCCGAGGGCGGGACCTTTGTTCACGGAGAAAACCCTCCCTCCTCCACCTGCCCGTGGGTCCTCCCCCGAGACCTGGGCGTGGGGCCTGGGGGTCCCGGGCAGGTAGGTCCTGCAGAGTCAGGTGGCCGAGGGCCCTGGGCCTGCGCAGGCTCACAGCTCCTCCCGCTGTCCAGCCCCCGCGGCGGCTGCCATTCCTGGAGCTCTGCTCTGGGCTGTGGGCCTGGGGCAGGTACCTGAGGGGGATCTTCAGGGGCAGTGGTTTTAGGGGAAGCGCTCGAAACTCCTGAGGCTGTGTGAAGGGCTTCCCCGACCCTGCACCCCTCCCTGGGGCACGAGGGGCCAGCCTCCTGCTCCCCCTGGGTGCCCCTGGGCCCGCGCCTGGGTGGGCAGCGGAAGCTGGGACCTCACTCCGGGGCTGCCCCCTGTCACCTCACCTCCCGCTGTGACGGCCAGCCCAGGCCTGGGCGAGGCTGGCTCTGGGCTTGGGGCTCCAGTGGCTGACCAGGCCTGCATGGCCCCCAGCCCACAGCCCGGGGCAGAGGGGTCCCCAGGGGGCTGCCCTTACCCCTCAGAGCCCGGCTGGGCCCGCGGCTCTGGGCGGGACTCGGTCAGACGGCCGCCGGCAGGAATGGCAGCAGCTCTGTGACCCCAGCAGGCGGAGGCCGGCGGCCCCGCGGCCCGGACCCCGGTGCTGCCCGTGGCTGCGAGGAACTGTGTACACAGCACTGGGATGTTTCCCCTGCCCCGCACTCCAGTGTGTGCCGGGAACGTGAGCCGGCCGGGGGTGCTCTGGGTCTGCAGCGAGCGGTCGGGGGCGGGGCATGGCGGGCGATGCTCCGTCTGCATTCATTCATTCATTCATTCGCTTGCTGACTCTCTCGTTCCTTCCTTCCTTCCTCCGTCCGCCTGTCCGCCGTGGCTCAGTCAGCAGGCCTTTCCCAGGTGCCCACTCCGGGCCGGGCTGCAGGGAGGGAGGGCGGCGGCTGGACACACGGGGGGCTATCGTTTCTTCGCCGTTGCAAAGAGTGGGCACCTCTCTCGAGTCTGTGGGGCTGTGGCACTCCGGACGGGTGTGTGGATGGGCAGACACAGACACGTAGGGGACTGGCGCAGGGTTCTGGCTGAGGCGTCCCTTGAGCAGTCCCCTGATCCAGGCCCTTGGGGGCCGCCTCCCTCGCTGGGACCCACACAGCGCCCAGCCAGACAAGGAGGCACCTCCAGGGGGACCCCAGCAGGCTGCGTCCGTCCCCTTGCCCACAGAGGACACGTCCACGCACACTGTGGGCTGGACCCAGGGGCCGTGGGCTGGACCCAGACCACAGGCAGCAGGCCCCGCTGGTGCGCACAGATGCGGACAGGTGAGGGCAGGTGGGCGAAGAGCAGTGGCTCCATTCCACGCCGGTGAAAGGCGCCTGCCAGGGCCTGGGGCCCCGGGGCCTGCCCAGCCTCCCATGCGCCTGATTTCCTCTCTCCCGCACTGCCCGACACCCTCCCTAGGCCACCCAGCACCCGCCCCGCACGCACCCAGAAGGCCTGAGGTCCCGAGGGAGCCGACTCTGGCCGGCCCCTGGGAGCCGCACGGGCGCCAGCAGGCGGAGGCCGCTCTGAGTCCGAGGAGCCCTCGGCAGGGGCGGGGGTGTCCCTGAGCCACAGCGCCCGCGGCCCAGCTGCCCCCAGTGCCAGGCACCCCGCGGCGCCCCTCCCCAGCCGCTCTGGGCGGGGTGGCCCACGCAGGCCAGCTCCGGGCCAGTGCCCGCAGCGGGGGTGGGGGGGCGAGCCAAGTGGGCCTCCTCCTCCTCCCCCTCCCCAGCCAATGTGGCGGGGGCGAGGGGGAGTGCAGCTGCTCCTCTCCTGCCGTGGTCCCGGGGGCGTGTCTACGGGCCGTGTGTGCCCGTGAGCACGCGTGTGCACGTGTGAACGCCCCGCGCCCACGTGCCCACGCTGGGCCGTGCTTGCTGGTGCACAGTGTGCGAGCCACAGGCAGGAGGCCGGCCTGGGCGGCAGCGACGTGGTGACCGCTGGTGCCCGGACCCACCCGGCCCTCAGGCAGGGAGGTGAGGCAGAGGGGCAGCGAGGGGGGCGGGGGTCAGGCTGTCCCGGCCTCCCACGGAGCCCGGCCGCCCCTCACCTCATCCCCCTTCCCCCACACTGCCTGGCCCAGCCCTTCGCTGTGTCCCCGGGGCCTTGGGCCCCAGGCCACGCTGCCCTGACCTCACAGAGCTTCCCCCGACACTCGCGTGTCTCCTGGCTGTGGTCGGCCTGCAGCGTGGGGCTCGTCTCTCAGTGGGTTCCGAGTGGGGCTGGGGCCCAGGGTGACAGTGTTCAGAGGCCCTGGCCGACCTGCCTGGAGCCGGGCACGGAGCAGGTTCCCAGCAGGTATGTCCGGGTGTGCGTCCCCATGTGGCCGGGGGGCCCCTGCGGGGCAGAGCAGGCTCCGTCTTGGGGTTCAGAACCGACCGCAGCTTTGCCCCAAAGCCGGAAGCTGGGGCGCTGTGGTCAGAGGGACAGACAGACAAGTGGACAGACAGGCGGGCAGCTGGTGGCCGGCAGGAGCTGCTGAGAATCGGCGGAAGCTGGGGCGGGCGGCCGGAGGGTGGCCCGACGGGCCCTGGAATTCCTCGCTTCCTGTTTTCCCAACAAAGGGCCTCTGTCCCCCCCGGAAGGCCACTGGCCGGCGGCCGCGGACGCGCCTTTTCCGCCTTCCCCACAAACAAGTTGTTTTCCTCCTCTGCGCCTGGTGCCGTGGCAGCTCCCCGAGCCCCGACCGGGGCCCACCAGAGGGTCCTGCGGGGCAGGCGCCCCTTCCCACAAGGCCCCCAGGGCCAGCAGGGGACGAGCGCTCAGTGCTGCCCACCCGTGGGGGTCCGGCCCGGCCCTGGGGGCCACTGCAGCCAAAGGGTCTGGTGGGTGGGGGCTGCGCTGGGCTTACGCTCCTGAGGCCTGTCAGGCCCAGTGACCCCCAGGGCCTGGTCCAGCAGCACCCAGAGCAGGGCCGGGCTGAGTCCACACGGGCCTCCTGGGGGGTGGGGGCAGCCAGGCCGGGCAGCCCTCCGGGTGGCCCTCCCTCCAGGCCAGCTGGGAGGGCTGCCCCTGGGCGCTCAGCCAGGTAGATGCTGTAGGGCTTGCTCCACAGAAAGAGGGTCCTCTAATGGGCCAAAGCCCCTGAGTGGGAGCCGTGGGAGGTGACCGGGTGCCTGCACCTGGCGGTGGGGGGGTGGGCGGGAAGGAGGGGCCGGAGTGCCCGCTCCAGCCCCTCGGCCACGTGGCCTTGAGGCGCGGCCAGCACAGCGCAGAAACAGCCGCCCGCTGCAAGCCCTGGCTCTGGGAGCGCTGGCCCGTGCGGGCTGCGGCCGGGGCTCAGCGCCGGCGTGAGGGTGGGAGCGCGGCCCTCCGTGCCTGGCCGTGGCGCTGAGCAGCAGTGGGCCCGGCGCCCGCGGCGCACGGCTCTGAGTGGGCGACGGTGCGCCTGGGCGGCAGGCGCCGGCACGCCCGTGTGAGGGGCTGGGGGCTATTTATAGCCGCTCTGCGGATGACAGGCGCTATTAATAGTGAGGGCGGAGGGTGAATGGACAATGGGCCCCTGGGCGGGGGTGGGGGGTGGGGGCAGGGGCCGTCCTCGCCCGAGACGCCCGGGGCTGGCACCCCAGCTCTCACCCAGGCGGCCAGACAAGGGCCACTGTTCCCTGGTCAGCAGCTGAGGGGGGGTCTGGGGGTGGTCCCAAGCTGCTGTCCCCCAACTCTCCCAGCCAGCCCTCGCCCGAAGGCAAAGCTAGCCCGTGGGACCCAGGAAGGAGGGCGCTGACATCAGCCTCCCACCCTCGGGTGGCAGGTGGCAGCACGGCAGTGGTGGGGGCAGGGGACCTTGAGCCCTCGCCCCCAACCGGGGTGCTCTCTGGGGAGCATCCCCTTTCCAGGCCGAGGTCAGAAGGGAACTGGACATGGGTCCTGGCAGCCAGGGCACCCGGGGGTCCCAGCAGTGAATGGGTGCTCAGCGGGGCCTTGGGCCCACACCCAGGGGTGACTGTGGAGCAGCCGGGCCAGCCTCCCTGGGCCGAGGCTGCTGGGTCGTCCCTGCTGCCGTGAAGCTCATTGGGGTGCCAGCAGGGAGTGCCCAGGCCGACCGCACCCTGAGGTGTAGGTGAAGTGGGAGACACCCCTCCAGGCCTCACTTCCTCCTGCTGCCCAGGTCCACCACTAGGGGGCACTTCCCTCCTTCCCTGAGCCCAGACCCAGGTCCCAGCAGGCACCTTCCAGAGGGTGGCTGTGTCCAGAGGCCCACCTAGCAGGGCCGCCTCTGGGGCGGGGGGTGGAGAGGAGGCTGTGGGGGGCTCAGGCCCTGCTGCGACCAGCCCTATGGCTGCCCTGCCCCCCAGAGGCCGGGCCTGAGGTCCTGGAGTGGGGGGCAGGGCAGGAGGGGTCATGAACCTCAGCGTCTGAACAGGTGCGACCGGCAAGGGCGCGCACGGGGCCAGGCGGTGAGGCTCCGGGACACCTTCATCCAGGCCCCAGGGAACACGTAGCGGTCCCAGTCGCACAACAGTTAGGGGTCCTGGGGTCCCACATCCCTCTAGCCAGCAGGGAGAGGCCCCCGCTGCTGGACCTTCCTGGATGAGACCCTCTGCGGGGACCTGGGGGGCGGCCTCCCGCGCTCCCCACCCCCAAATTCGCATCTCATTCACCCCCTCCTTCTGCCTGGCCCAGATCCTTCGGGACAGCCGCCCCCCTGCTTCCCGCAATAGTGTCACCGTCACGAGGTGCGCGAGCATCCCGCCCGCGCCACCTGTCGCCAAGCCCTTTCCAAAAAGGTCGTGGCCGAGCGCGCACGCGCCGGGTCTACGTAGGAAACCTCGGGTTTTACCATCAGCGTCATCACTGCCCCCCCCCCCCCCCCCGCGTTACTACCGCTCCGGGAAAGGGAGAACGTGGGGGAGGGGTGTCCCGTGCCCTCACGCGCCTGCATGGTGGGGGGGAGCGCGGGCGGAGCCGGAGTGCGCACAGCCAGGACTCGGCCCCTACCCAACTCTCCTCCACACGGGACCTGGCCCGCAGGACCAGATGCTGCCCTCCCTTCGCCCCCCCGCCCCTCCCTCCGCGGGGACAGCCGGGCCTCTGCTTCCGGCGCCGCCCCCTTCCCGTCAAGGCAGCGCCCCCTTCCCGTCCGCTGGCTGGGCCCCTTCCTAGCGCAACCCCAAAATCTGCTCAGCGAGAGAAAAGGGGAGTAGGGCCGACCTCCCTCCGCTGCGGGGGTTAGGCCAGGGCTGGGGATGCGGCCCGTGGAAGGGGTCCCGCGGCCGAAGTGTGCCTGCTGGGCCGAGCGAAGGGACACAGCAGGGGGGCTGGGGTGGGGGTGGGGGCACAGTGGGGAGGGGCGCTGGTGGAGGGGCTCCGGGTCTGCACCGTCCACATCGCTGAGCCCCCAGGGGCTGAAGTGCTGGGGTGCCCTCTCTATCCCCCCTCACTCGGCGAGGCGGCAGCCACGCGCCCAGGTCCAGAGAGAGAGCGCCAGGCTGGCTGGCGACCCTCTGAGGGCGGTGCGGAGGCGGCCTGCGGGCCTGGGGGCGCTGCCCGGACCCCGGGGAGCCCCTGGGCCTGCAGCGAGTGAGCAGTGTGGTCAGTGTCCGTTCGGGCGCCCTCTGGCGGCTGCGGGCCGCCGGTGGCCAGGCTGCAGGGAGGGCAGCCAGCGCCAGCCTGGGGATGGCGCCTGGGAACTTCTCTCCAGCAGGAGTCCCCTGGGTTGGGAGGTGGGGTCTCTGAAAAGGGAGGCACCCGCCCCCCACGGAGCCCCACCGGGGCAGGCTGGCCCTCTCCCCACACTGCTGTGGGGCCGGCCAGCCTGGTGTCTGGGGCCATCCCAGCCACAAGCAGAGCTTTGAGGGGCCCAGGAGCAGGGGGGAACCGGTGGCCTGAATGGCAGCCTGTCCCCACGGAGGCACAAGGCTGATGCCACTGGACCACCGTCCGAAGCCTTCTGCCCCGCCGCGGCCCACAGGACCACTGGCTCCTGTGCCACCCGCCCACCCCTGCTGGGCCAGCGCGCCCTCCCCATACTCCCTGAGGGGCCCCCCCAGGGCTGCAGAGTGGAGGTGCCCAGCGCAGCCGGGCCGACCCCTGGTCACCTCCTCATGGCCATCTTGTCCTGGCCGGGAGCCCCTACCCACAGGCGCAGGCCCCCGTGGGACCAGCAGGCAGGCGGAGGCAGGAGTGGGGCAGTGGAGGAGGGCGGAGAGCGGCCCCGGGGGTGGGGGTCAGGAAGGCTGGTGGGGGAGTCTGTGAGCAGAAGACAGGGCCCAGGGAGGGGTGGTCTGCGGAGGCTGCTCCCGGGCCCCGGGACTGTGGAGCCGGTGGGGTGGGGTGGGGGCAGCACAGGCTCTGGTTGAGGGGTGCTGGGGGCAGGAGTGGTGGGCAGGTGGCCTGGATGTGGGGTGTCAGAAGAGGAGCAGGACAGTCTGCAGCTGCTGGGACCCCGGAGTACCCTGGAGGCCCACGGCGTCCTTGTGGCTCCCTGGGGGGTGGGGCGGGGGCACCCGGGGATCATGGAGCGGAGCTCTGGCTGGTTTGACCCCTGACCAGCGGCCATTTCTCCAGGCCTGAACAGACTGCTGGAGCCGGCATCCTTGACGGTGGACCTCGCTTCTTTGGCCGCCATCGTGAGTGAGTCCCGGGGAGCTTCTGCGTCTGTCCCCAGCTGGGAGGAAGTCCACCCTGGGGTGGTCAGTGACACAGTGACAGGCCTGTGGTGCGAGGTGGCGGTCCGGTCACGTCATTTGCTCCACCAGTCTGACCACTACAGGCAGGTGGCTGGTCCAGGATGATGGTGGACGCTGTGAAGGCCCCCTGGGCCGCAGCCGGGGCACCCTCTCGTCCAGCCCCACCGGGAAGAAGACTGAAAACCTGGGGCAGTGCTGTCCACTCAGCCCCTTCCCCGCTCGCCGTCCCCCCACTGTGCTGACACCCGGGGGAGGCGAGTCCTGGGCCCCGGAGGCTGCTGAGCAGGATCCCTGGCCTCTACTCACTTGAGCCAGTGGCGTCTGCCCACCCGGGCCAGACAAATGTCCCCAGACACTCAGCAGGGCCCCGGGGCCCCCCGGCGAGAATGCCGCGTCCCACCTCACGATGCGCCAGGCCAGGGGCCCGCTTCACAGCACAGCCAAGGTGGGGCCGGCAGCGACCACGGGCACGCACACACCATGCTTCCAGAAGCTTCTAGCCCGACCTGGCGTGCGGTGGCCAGTGGAAGGCCAGGCCCTTTGGGTGGACGCCGTCCCAGGTCCTGCCCGTGGGGCTGCATCCCCACAGCACCCACCGCTCCCGGTTCCAGGAACTGCTGGAGGGTGGGAGCGGAGCGGGGGTGGGGGCTGGCTCCCCAAGGGACGCAGCAGACAGCCCTGGGCTGGAACCAGGACCCGGGAAGTGGAGCCCAGCGGGCGAGCAGAAGCACCCTGGAGCAGGGCGGGCCTCTGACCTGCTGCTGACCAGCAGGGGGGTCGGCCACGGGCTGCTCAGGGGGACGTGTCTTCTGCCTCGACCTGGAGGAGGTGGCGCGGGACCACGGAGGGCGCTGACCGAGCATACCCCACGGCCCTGCTGCCCCAGGCCCCTCCCAGGCACACCCCGGGTGGGGGGGGGCGAAGGCGCCGCCCCTGGCTGAGACTGGATCCCTCCAAGGTTGTCAGGTCCGCGGTCCCAGGTGGCCGTTGCCCAGCTGTGCCCTGGCCCTGGTGCCTGCCTGCCTGTCCCTTCCTTGGCTGTGATCGCAGGAGCAGGACACTTCTGTCCACACTGGGGGCTGGGCCTGGCCTCAGCATGCCCTGCCCTGGGACCTGGGACCTCCTGAACGAGGGAGTCATCCCGCAGCACCCTCCCTTCCATCGCACCTGAGAGGCTCCGGCCCAGACTGGCCGCAGCTCAGGCAGAGGGGCCGCCCGTGTGGTCCCACAGCGCCGCCTGCTGGCTGCAGCCACCCTCTGGCCCAGCAGCCACGGAGGGTCCCGACAGTGGTGTGGTCCCCACACTGGCACACACTGCCCACCCCCGCCCCAGCCCAGGGTGGAGGGGAGGTCACAGGGCCAGCAGGGGGCACTGCCGGAGGGGGGGTCCCCCAAGTAGGGAGGTTGCCCGGTGTCCCCCACAGGCGGGGCCAGAGTCCACGCGAGGGTCCCATCGTTGAAGACCCCAAACCCACGTCCGCACACCACAGCCCGTGGGCCCTCAGCCACCGTGGTCCCAGGCCCCTGTGACCCTCACCCCCGGCCTGGCCTGGCCAGGTCCTGCCGGGGTCAGGTCCGTCCCCAACCCCTCCTACCCAGCGGCCCCGTGGTGGTCCTTCCTGCAGCTGGGAGCCCCCTCCCCATCCAGATGGGAAAGCGGAGGCTGGGGTCTCCAGGGAGCGGCATCCCCACGAGTGCGGGACCCTGGAGCCCCAGTGGGGTGACTTGGGGAGGGGGTGAGGGCAGTCCTGGGGGGCACAGCTGAGCAGGGGCCCTGGTGGGGGAGGGGGGAGGAGGGGGGGCCAGACTGGGATGTCCCTGGGGGGAGACAGCGGGAGGTTCTCGGGAAGAACCAGCGCCCCCCCCCGACTCCCGCTCTGCCCTGGAGTGGGAGCAGTGAAAGGGCCAGCGGGGGTCCAGTGGGGGTCCCAGAGCAGGGCCAGTGAGGACCACCTGGTCTCGTCCCTCCCAGGCCTCACGGTGCCCGTGGAGTTGGCCTAGGGCGGGCCACGGCCCAGCAGGAGGGCAGGGGAGCTGCCCGCGGTGGGCCGACACAGGGGCCCAGTGGGGGGAGCCAGCTGCAGGGGCACGGGCCCTCTCCACTGCCAGGGGACTGTCCAGCCCCTCAGGGCACCTTCAGTGGCACTTGCGGGGACAGGGCGTCTGCACCCAGAGCCTGTGTAGGAGGGGTGGCTCCCGGGTGACCCTGCCGTGTGTGGGGTGACAGTGCCACCTGGTGGCCACACGTCCAGTCCTGCAAGGACCTGAGATTCTCTGGGTTCCGCCTGGAAAGGGCGTCAGTTCTGTGGCCTGGGGCGCGAGGCCACCCTGGGGAACGGCTTTGACACCTTGGCCTGGGCCTGAGTGTTAGGTCCCAGCAGATCAGGGGCCGCCTGTCCTGGGCTGGACCTCCAGTGAACCCGCCGGTCCCTGTGGCCGGCACAGGTGTGGCTTCTCCCCCCCCTTCCTGGGAGTCACCTGCACTGACCCTCCTCCCAGAGGGGACCCTGGCCAGGGGCCCCCCTTCTGGGCCTCACCCTGCAGCCACCTGCCAGCACCAGGCACCCCCTGCCGCCCCCAGCTCTCACGCTGGTTTGCTGTCCTCCGCCCCCCTCCAGGCCCGTCAGGGACCCCCACTCCCCTCCACACCCACTCTGGTGGTGACCGCTCCCACCACCTGCTCTGCGCGCCAGCCTGCGCCTCGGTGCCGTCTCCAGGAGGGACCACGTCAGCCTAATGCCCCCGAGGGCCCCCAGTGCAGGCCCCCACCCTGGGCAGCAGCGGCCCGCTGCCCGCACCGGAGGTCATCCTGGCCCGCCAGCTGGACCCGCGGACACCTGCCCTGGGATGGAGAGCCGCCATCCCCTGCCAGCTGGACACGGAGCTGCGAGGTAGTGGCTGCGGGTGCAGCCAGCCCCCGCGGGGACACACCCAGACTGGCCTCTGCCCAGGGTGGGCCTGGGCCCCCGGGGGCCAGAGCAGAGGCCACGGCCTGGCCTCCGCACGGACCCGTGAGGACGGCCCACAGCCTCTCCACCCCGCTGCCTGCCCCCTTCCCAGAACTCCTCCTCTCCCGGCCGAGGTGCCGGCCCGGGGTTCGCCGCTGATGTCCGTCTCCAGCTCGGCCCCCAGAGAGGGCTGTGCCCCGCCCCCCCGGTCTGGTCCTGAAACCCCCGATGAAGGTCTTGGTTACTCGCAGGCCTGCGGTGGTTGCCGGGGAGGTGGGCGCGGTGGGCCTGCCCGCCCCCCGCAGGGCTCAGCGGCCGCGCACGTCTTCCCCCGAGTGGGCGGGGCGGGGCCAGCGCCTGCGGCCCCCGTGAGACAGACCCACGCCCGCCCGTGCCCGCCTTCAGTGGTGACTTTTATTACAAAGAACAGTATCAAAATATACAAATATGTTTAAGAACCAAAAATGCAGCTTTTTGAAGGGTCGAATGAGTGTCAGCCGTGTTGAAGGCAGCTTCTCCGGCCGCCCGGGGACGGGGGGCGGGGCTTCCCGGACGTCAGTCTGAATAATTTAAAGGGCAGGTCGGGCTCCGGCTCCGGCTCGGGGGAGCCTCACAAGTCCTCGCGCGCCGGCGGCCGCACCGCGTCTTCCTCTGCGGCCTCCTCTGCGGCCTCCTCTGCGACCTCTGCCAGAAAACACACCGGGCGCTCGAGAGGCCTGCGCGCAGGAGAGGCGGGGCGGGCCCTGCGCACCCCTGGGTCTGACGCCGGGCACCCGGGACCAGGGGGCGGGCGGGCGGCCCCTTCTGCCGTGGAAGCGGCAGCCTCCAGCCCAGGAAGCTCTGCAGCCGCAGCCACGAGCCTCGCGCCACGGAAGTCTCCCTCTGCAGCAGCAGGGGTTGGGGGCGGGGCCTCTCTTCGCAGCCCCTCCCCATCGGTGCAGGGACCCGCCCCCACCCGCTGTCAGGGCCCAGGGCGCACCCCCCCCCACCCCGCCCGCCACCGCTCACCGCCCCCCGCGGGCTGCGCCGGCACGCAGGCGTCCTCCGTCTCCTCGAAGCCTTCGGGACACACGCAGACGTAGCTCCCGGGGGTGTTGTAGCAGCTCTCGCCGGCCCTGGCGCACGCCTTCTCCGGCAGCGCGCACTCGTCCACGTCTGGAACAGAAAGTTCGCCTCGGTCACCGCCTGGACAGGCGGGGCTCACTCGCCGCCGGGGAACAGGGCTCAGCAGCCGCACCTCGAGACGGGAGCGAGGGCAGGACTTCACAGGAGCCTGGGGAATCAGGGCTCTGGGGCAGAGGCAGAGACGTGCCGGCCTCGGGGCCGGCCAGCTGGGCGCAGACAGGACACGTGGGTGCACGGGGCTGGCCCGCAGCTCGAGGGTGCAGGGCTCACAGTGGGGCGGCCCCACCTCCGTGTCTGCATCTCGTGAGACCCCCGGGGTACTCGGGAGGCTAGAGAAGCAGGGCCCGCGGGGAGCGCCTGAGCCCACTGTCTATGCCCCTCAGCTCAGGGCCGCCGGTGCAGCGGGCCCTGGGGGGCTCCGTCGGGGCTGGGACACTGACCTGCACACTGGCCGCTCTCCCTCGTGTGGCCGGGGATGCACTCCTTGCACCGCCCCGGGCCCTTGCCCGTGCAGCCCACACAGGTGGGGTCGCACTCTGGAAACGAGAGGAGAGGCTGTGGCGGCAGCAGACCGGCCGCCCGGGAGCACCCCGGGGCTGACACTCCAGCAGGGGCGCGGGGGAGGCCTGGTGCCCTCGAGCCGGGGGCCCCTCACCGGTCACGCAGGGCGCTCCCAGAGCTCTCCCCCGGGGAAGGGCAGACGCCTGGGGTGGGTGCCACGACGGGCCCCCGGCAGCCGAGGCACCACCGTCCTGTGAACCCCCGTGGAAACTGCGGGGACAGTGGCCTCCCAAACCGCCCTCCCCCACCCCGGTGCAGGTGCCGGCAGCTGCTGACATTGCCCCGCTCGCCCACCGGCAGCTCAGCGGCAGCAGCGGAGACCAGAGCCGGCACGTCCCAGGCGGAGGAGCGCCTGCGCCACCCCAGACCCCCGGCAGAGGCGGCCCCGGCCGCGGCCCCAGCCCAGCGGCGCTGGGCACCCTGCAAATGCGAAAGCTCTCCGGCGAGGGCGTTCACGGCTCCGATGGCGGGAACCGCGTTCCAACACCCAGCATCCCGGAGTGCTGCAAGCTGTGCGGTGGCGGCGTGCTCCGAGATCGTGAGCGGGACGCAGAGAACGGTGACACGCGGACGGCCACCGGCGAGGCGCCGTGTCCGACAGGCGAGGCCAGAGAGCAGCGCGGGGAGCCCGCCCAGCACTGCAGGCCCCGTGGGTGGGATCGATGGTGCTGTCTGTCGTTGCTCCACCGTCTCCAGGCGTTCTGACCGTGCTACACGGCCGACGCCTGCCACCCGAGCGGCCCCCTCGGAGGGCGTGCGCGTGGGAGGGGCGCGCGGCCCGGGCCGCACCTTCGCAGTTGAAGGAGCCGCCGACGTTCTCGCAGTACTGCTGGGGGCCGCAGGGGGGCGTCTCCACCGCACACTCGTCCACGTCTGCAACGCAAGGCGCCACCGTGAGGGCCCGCCCCCTCCGCCCCCTTCCGGACCACACAGCCGGCCCCCAGCACCTCCCCCCCGCGGCCAGGGCCGGCCTGAAGGGGGTGGCCACGGTGTGGAGGACAGCTCTACGGGGCGGGCCTGGAGGCCTCTTGCAGGACGGGGGGCGCTTCCCTCCCCCTGGAGATGGGGCGAGCAGCCCGACTGGCCCAAGGCCTCGCGGCTCTGGTGGGGGGCGGAGGGGGGCAGCCGACTCTACTTGCAGCCCCGCTGGCCTGCCCGTGGGCCTCTGGGCCCCGGGCTCCGGGATGCTGCAGGGTAGGTGGAGCCAAAGGAAAGGGCGCACTGCAGCAAGTGGCGGCCACCAGGCTGGACGGGCGGGGACAGGCGGACGGGGAGACACGCCTGGGGCCTCACGTCTGTGTGGCTGGAGGAGCCCAGGGCAGCCACCGCCCCCTCTGTGGCCAAGTGGCCAGCCCAGGCAGACGCTGCGACCGCCAGGCTCACCAGTGTGGCTCCCCAGCCCAGGGACGTCCAGGGGGCTGTGAGCAGCAGGACCTGCCTGTGCTGCTGCTCTGAGTCCTGTCCAGGCGGGGACCACGTGCCCCCCAGTCTCCGTCAGCACCCCTGCCAGCCCCCACATCTGCCCCTTGTGGAACCAGGGCCTGAGCTGCCAGTGAGGATGACCGGCAAAGGGGCCACCGGCCCAGCCCTGAGTGGGGGCGGCAGAGGGGGGGAGGGACCCCCAAGGCTCCTTCCTGGAAGTGGCTGCACCTGCCACCAGCTGTGGGCGAGACACACGTGTCCCGGGACCGTTGAAATGTGACACAGAACACCACAGTCGCCTTCCCTACAAGTCCCCGATGGGGCCGAGGGCCGAAGTGAGCCCGCCTGGGAGGGGCTGGCGCAGCCCCCGCAGGGAAGCCGGGGGGCCATGGGGCACGGGGAGGGGGGCCCGGGGCGGCTCGCTCACCCACGCAGGCGCCGTCCTCCTCGGCCCAGCCCACTTCGCACTGGGCGCAGTCCCTGTTGGTGGGGCCTGAGCAGGTCTTGCAGGACTCGTTGCAGGCTGGAAGGCAGAGTGGGCGCTGTGGGTGTGCGCAGGCCCACCCGCAGCATGAGGGGCGTCCGCAGCGAGGGGTCCCCGCCCAGCAGGCCGGAGCAAAAACCAGAAACGGACGGAAAGACTCTGGCAGAGCCCGACTTGCTCCCCGACACAAAGCCGTGCTCCTGGGATGCCCGGCACCCACGGGGCTCCCCTCGCCTGTCGGTGGTGCCCCCTCTGCAAACGAGGGTTACGAGGGACCTTCTGTAGTTCCCTGGCTGGTGGGCCCCGCTGCGCTCCGACACCCCGGCTGGGACAACGCAGAGCGGCTCCCACTCCGACCGTGGGGAACGGCCACGGCAGCCGCGCCCGCGAGCGTTGCTGACGAGGCCGCCCCTGGTCGCTGCCCCGCCGTCACAGCCCGCCCCTGAGCACGCCGGTCAGTGAGCCGCCCCAGGCGCTCGCCCTGGGCTGTGTGTCGGGGGAGAGCGTGCCCCCTGCTCCCAGGCCACCGGAATGGCCGGCAAGGCCAGTCACAGCTGAGACGGTCTGTCTGTGCGAGACTCCCCAGGGGGTGGGAGGGCAGGGCAACGGCCCCTGAAGACCAGCTGGGAAGACCCCCGTACCCGCCACAGGTCACCACCACAGCGTGTCCTCCAGAAGGGACCCGGGGCCAGGAGGTCACGCCCCGTGGCCTCCCCGTGTTCCCGTTCTCACCGGGGCCACCTCCCCACCCTGCCTCCACTGTGAGTGACAGCAGGCTGCTCCGGCCCCCGCCGCCCGCATCGCACCCACGGACACGCAGCACAGCCCTCCAAGGCCAGCCATCCTGCGGGAGAGCCGTGTGGGGAGCAGGCCCCGTGCCGGGACACGCCAGTGCCAGGCCACGAGACGAAGACCGTCGCGGATGTCGCAGGACTGCTGGCCCCGGGGTCGTCTCAGCCAGAGGTCAGGAGAAACGCGACCCTCCTCTCCTCTGGGGTGGTTTGGGGACAGGAAGTGGGGCCACAGCGGTGCGCTGGCCAGTCTCGTCCCTGCCCCCCCCCCGCGCACGTCCTGACCGCCGGGGCGGGAGACCCGCAGGTGTGCGGCCCCTCCTCTGCAGGGCCCGTTACCTGTGCACACGCTGTGCGTGGCGTTCCGCAGCGAGCTGAAGTAGCCGTCCGTGCAGTCCGTGCACAGGGCCCCGCGGTAGCCCGGGTGGCACTGGCAGGTCCCGTCCCCCTCTCTGCTGCCGTCTCCGCTGCACCGGCCGTTCCCGCTGCAGGGCCTCGCGGCCCCGCCCTGGCACGCTGTGGGGACCCAGACGGCGGTCAGCGGCACCCGAGGCGCGCTCGCACACGGAGAAGACGCCGCTTCGCTCACTCGCCGCACGCTCAGAGCTGCGAGCTGCTCTCCGGGTGCCTCGCTGAGTCCAGACCCCACGTTGCCCCTGAAGTGGGCACCACGGCTCTCTGAGGACGCGGGAGCCTGCGGGCCCCAGGCAGGGTCCGGGCGGCCTCCCTGAAACTTGGGGTGACGACGCTGGCACCTGGGGCGGGTGGAGCTGTGGCCACGTGCCGCTGGGACAGCAGGGAGGGCAGGTGGGAGGTGGCGGCACCCAGTAAGAGGGTCTCTCCTCAAAAATGGAGTCACGTGGTCCAGCTGACCACACGAGTGACTCGGGTGAGGCCCCAAGCAAGCTGGGGCTGACCGTGACCTGTGCGGCCGAACAGACACCCCGGCCCCAGCCTCTCACAGACCGGTCCTTGCTGTGAGCAGTGCTGTGCGGGGGCCTCGAAAGCCACCGCCCTGCACTCCTGGCGATGTCCAGGCAGGTGGGTTAGGAGGGACCCTCGGCTGGGCGCCGAGAGGGCAGCGTCCAGGCCGGCTGGGAGCCGCCGGCCCCAGCTCCCTCCCACGCTCTGCCCACTGGGAAGGAAGACCGGGCGCCTCGGGGTCTCCTGGAGAAAAACCTACCCCGGCAGTCCGGTCCGTACGTTCCTGGAGAACAGCAGACCTGCAGCGTTTTCACACAAAACCACTCGAACAAGTCAGGGTGCTCCTTCTTCCTGAGGGTTGGAAAAGCTCCGTTAACTCACCCGGGACAGAGTCCTTCGGGGCAAAGATGCGCTCCCTGCCACGTGCGGTGCAGGTGTCAGGGGACCTGGGAAGGGACAGGCAGGTGCGGGCACCCTCCCGGCCGACTCCCCGCTCTGGTCGCTGCACGAGGGCACGGAAGAGGTGACAGGGTAGAAAGAAGACGGTGGACGGACGCTCTCCACACTGTTCGTGACTTCTCCAAGTCTGATGTTCTCTCAGACCTCGGGTTAACGACACAGCCCCGGGGCGTTCCGGCGACCCGGCCCCCAGCCCGGACACTCACAGCCGCAGCCACCAGGCCTCCAACAGCTCCTCGTGCTCCTCCACCAAGCGGTTGCACTCGAAGTCGCTGCTCCCGCACAGGCCCTCCACGATCTCCAGGAGGCGGACCTCGCTGCAACACAGCCCGCCCGCCCGCCCGCCCGCGGTCAGCACGCGTCCCGCCGCAGCGTCCTGGGGCCCCACCGGGTGCCAGGCCAGAGCGGTGTACGGGCCACTTGAGTGAAAAAGACCCCCGGCAGACACACCAGCTGGGGATGGGAGGGCGTCTTGGGTACCACGCGGAGACTTGAACTGGAGGGGACATGGGGAGTCAGAGCCTCTGCAGCCTCCCTCAGGGTGACGGAGGGCGGGGTGGGGTCCGCAGGGAAGCCCCTGAAGCCGGCAGGACCCCACAGCTCCAGACAGAGGGGGAGCCACAACCACAGTTCGTGTGGGTGGGACTCCGTGCCCAGGCTGCATCTTTGAGACACCACCAAGTCTGCTGTGCGGCAGGGAAGCCAGCTGACCAGTGAGGGGCCAGTGGGTCAGTCCCAGGCCAGGGCACAGGTGGCCGAGCTGAAGGGATCCTCCGTGCCTGTCTGGCCCTTGGGAGCTGGGGCCGGCGGCTCCCACCCGCCCTGCACGCTGCCTTCTCGGCGCGCAGCTGAGCGTCCCTCCTAACCCACCTGCCGGGATGCCGCCGGGAGTGCGGGGAGGCGGCTCGCGCGGCCCCCGCACATCTCCCGGGAATGCCCAAGGGCTCGGAGCAGGGCGGGCGCCCACCTGAACTCATACTTGGACAGCGACTTCTCCTCCCACGCCGTGTTCCCACCGCCGAAGTTCTTCTTGGCCGTGTCCACCATTCCCTGCGGGGAGAGCATGGGCGTGAGGCTCCGGCGCACCGGTCCGTGCCGGGCTGACCCCAGCCCGTATGGCGGACCCGGGTCCAGCGTGGGCGGACCCTGGCTCCGTGTCCCGCGCCGCCAGCCCACCTGGTTGAACTTGTCCACCAGATCCCGGCAGCCCTGGCAGGGTGTCGGCTTCTGGGTGGCCTCGCCGGGCACCAGCAACAGCCCCAGCAGCAGCAGCAGCAGCCCCAGAGTGGCCGGGGCCGACGGGCGCATGGCGGGCCGAGCGGGCAGCGCTGCGAGGACGCGGCCGCGCGGGCAACGACCGAGGGCGGGAAGGAACGGCCGAGCGCTCAGGCCTCCGGCCGCCCACCGGCTCACCGGCGCCGGCAGTTCCCGGGACTACTTGACGGAGCCGGACGGGGCCCCGCCCCCCGCCATTTCTCGCACCGCTATTGGTCTGGGGGATCCTTCCTGTCCCCATGTGGCCCAATCAGGGCTCGCCACGAGAAGTGACCAATAGGAAGGTCCCGGGTCAGCGTCCCACTGGGAAAGGTGGGAAGGGGAGCAAGGAGGTCCGAACCCACCCCCCTCGGCCCCGCCTCTCGCGTGCGCCCGTGGCGGCCATCTTTGTTCCGGGCAAGGAGGGCGCCCACCGCCAAGGCGGCTAGGTTTTGGTGGCCATGTTAGGTTCGGGCAAGGTCTTCGCATCCGAGCTCGCTTCCGCTACCCTTCTTCCGGCTGCGGGCAGCTGGGGCAGCTCGTGCAGCCGAGGGAGTCGCGCTCCGCAGGACAGCCCCGCGGGCGCGCGTGGTAAGCGTGCGCTGCCGCGGCCGGGGCTCTCGGGGTGGGCGGCGGGGATCCCGAGCTGAAGCGTGCGCTGCGCTCCTCCGGCCTTTCTGTGCGTGTTCTCGTGGGACAGCCGCCGGGCCCCTCCACCTGGGGCCGGGCTCCTCACCTGGGGCCTGAGAAGTGTCTCGCGAGGCCCTGGAACCCGCATTTCCGCAGGTGCCCCGGCGAGGGGCACTGGAACCGTGGTTTCGGTGACGAGCACGAAGATCGGCCCTACCTGGGTTCCAGTAGGACGCACCTGCCAGAAGGAAGAAGTGCGCACGGTATACCAAGTCTTCTCCGCCGTTTGGCGGGCAGCCGGCCCGGTTCTCTCCGAGTCGTTTGTGTTTGCAGCCCAGGGGCTAACACTTGGAACGTCCGATTCCACCGGCTTCGGCAGAGGCCGCAGATTCCGGGTCGAGGGGCCCAGAGGCCCGAGGAGCTCATTCCCGGCCCCAGATGCCGAGGTTCCCGACAACAGCTGGTGTTAGCCCGAGGGTGCTTGCCGAGCGGGGTGGACCGGTGCAGACGAGCGCCCCCCGCCCTCCGGAGTCCGGTGGTGGGGTGGCCCTGGGCCCTGTGCTGCTGGGGTCCGGTGTCGTCCCACGGTCCTGGGAGCGTCTGGCCGAGACCGGGTGCTGCCCGTGCTTTCCAGAAGAGCTGCTTGGCTGTCTGCTTCTGCCGCACTGTCCGGTGGGTGAGAAGGCCTTGGGGCCTGGCAGGGGCCGAGTCCTGCACACAGGAGAGCATCCTCCCCGCCTTAGGTGTGGGCAGGGTCTGCAGGGACAGGCCTGTTCGAGGCAGACAGACACAGCCGTGAGGCCTGGCGGGTCCCTGCCCCGCAGCCCTCCTGCAGCAGTTCCCACAGTTCCTCGGGGTGGACGCTTCCTGTTTCCTTAAACTTTATTTTTTTTTTATTCCCTGTGAAGCAGTTAGAGGAACAGAGTAGCATGTGGGTGTTCTCTGGTCTCTGCCTCTGGGGTTAAAGCATTAGCATATTCTCAGTGCTAACTAAGCTGCTGGGATGACATCCATGCCTAAGAGTTTTTATCAGATTCCTTCAGTTTGTTCGTTGAGTACCTACTGTGTGCCAGGCTCTGCTGATGCAGTGGTGAGTCAGCTTAGTGGCCCTGTGCGCAGGATATAACCCCATGGTGGGGCAGCCGAAGGGGTCTCCCATCCAGCACATCTCTGCACCCCGTGTGGTGACCAGGGTCCATTCTCTGTGCTGAGGGTGCTGTGGGGGGAGGGGGCAGAAACACGGGAAAAATCCCCCACTTCAGGAGCTTACCCTTTAGAGAGAGGGAGATAAAGTAGCAGCACCTGTTCCCATGGGTGTTTCTATATTTGGAGGGAGAAACAAGTTACTTCTAAGGGCTACTGTATTTTTTGGGTGGTTTCGATGATGGCACCTGTTCCCCTTGCCTCCCCCCAGCTTACTGCCACCTTGACCAAGTCCAGCCGGTCCCCGGTCCTTCTCACCCACAGGTTTTCCTCACTCTTGAGGCCCCACTGGTTGTCTTGGGGGAGCACAGACTCTTTAAAGCTTAACAGATGGCGCTGTGGGACCCGCCTTTCCCTTCTGGCTTTTCTGGCTTTGGTCAAATAAAATCAGACCCGTTTCGAGAAAAGCCCGAAACACAGAGAAGAAGTCGCCGCCTTTCCTCCCCGCACTGGACAGGTCCAGGTCTTCCAGGCGGGAGCTGACTGGACGCCCCCTGCTTCCCCAATTGCCTGCCAGTGTCTGGGTGGTCCATTGCGGGCACATCCATCTCAGCCCCTCAAAGGACACAACACCCTTTTTCCCACCCGTGTATTCACATTCTCGACCAGCTGGGTGCCACCAGGGGCCCCGCACAACCCCTCACAGGCCGTCGAGAAGGTAGCCGGGGGGGTGCAGGGACTCCCCTGGCTGCCCTGCCGCTCCTTTCTGTGCTGCTGCCTCTCGGCCTCCGCCCAGACCCGAGCGGGACCAGGAGGGCCAGGCCATGTTCAGGTGTCCTGCCCTCGGGGCCGGGCCACACGCGGGACTTCAGCAACCCAAGTGGTCCTCGGTGCGGAGACCCTCGCCCAGCCTCGTGTAAGGCGGCCGGTTCACACGGGAACACTGCTCAAGCTTGTTTTCGTGAAAACCCTGTTTCCGTGTACTTGCAGGCTTGCAGAAGCTGTGGCGAGCATTCCCGCTCACTCTTCACCCACATCGTCTCCCGGACGTTGCCTCGGCTGTGACTTTTGAAGTGGGGGTCCCCGTGTTTGCTGTGACATGCGCCCAGCGTGGCAGTGCTGATGGCCGGTGACAGACGGGGCGTGAAGGGGAAGCCTGGAATGTCCGGGAAGAGGCAGCTGGGCTGGGGCGGGCAGCGCCTGCTGCTGGGTCTGCTGGTCGCCGTGGCCGCCGCCCACCTGGCCGCCTGCCCCTACACCAAGGTGGAGGAGAGCTTCAGCCTGCAGGCCACGCACGACCTGCTCTTCCACCGTCTGGACATGGAGCGGGTGAGTCCGGCGCCTGCGGCCGCGTCCTCCCCAAGTCCTGGGGCCTCCGCTGACCTCGCACTCCCTCTGCAGTACGACCACCTGGAGTTCCCGGGCGTGGTCCCCAGGACGTTCCTCGGGCCCCTGGTGATCGCGGCGCTGTCCAGCCCCGTGGTCTGCGTGCTCTCGCTGCTGGGGTCGTCCAAGTTCTACTCTCAGCTGACAGGTAAGGACCGGGGCCTTCGAAGGGGGACGGAAGAACCGTCGTGAGGTCTGGTGATCGCAGCCAGCCGACCGGAGGCCCCTTCCGCGGTGTCCGCCTGCGGATCGTGGCTGCGCGGGGCCGTGCGGTGTGGCAGTTCGGATCACAGGTCAGAGCCAGGCGTCAGCCCTCTCTAGGGTGTGACCTGGGACGGAGAACAGGGCGTCTGCCTCCCGAGACTGAAATGAGGGTGTTGGCAGCTTCCCGCTCAGGTTGCCTGCGTAGATCCTTCTGGATTTTTCTCGGGGCCCAATTTAGAGAGTTCCCCGCAGAGAGCTCTGCAGCCTCACTTGCTGGCCAGGGACCCCCGCTGTTCCGAGTTGGCGCTTTTTCTCTGCATCCAAACCCAGACCATTCCCACGCCTCCCGGACAGACGCCAACACGCTCTCACGGCGGGTGTGCCTGGCCTGTTGGCAAGCCGTGACGGGGTCAGGTCCCCGCGGAGGGGCAGCTCAGGAGAGGGGCACACCACCACACAGGGCAGCCAGACAGGCCGAGCCGGTCACGGAGGACGCCGGGGAGCCCCGGGCGGTCACCGCTGTGGGGGGCCTCTGGTGCGAGTGCCGAGTTGGTCACTCAGGGAGGGATGGACACTGCCTGCCCTGTCCCGGGCCTCACAGTGTTGGGGGAGCCCCGAGGCCAGGCCCGGGCACAGGCCATCTGTCCCCCACACCCAGGTGTTTTTGATACCGAGCCCTTGGGGTTGTTTCACTGCCGCCTGGTCGCTCGCCGACCGCTGGACGTCAGGGTCAGAGACCCGCTGACCTGCGGGTCACACACGGGTCGCCGTCCTTGTTCAGTCAGAGCGGTCCTTGGACTCGGAGTGGTTTCCGGACTCTGGACTTGGCAGAAAGAAGTGCGGCGGCAGTTTGGGGCCACGGCGGCCACCGTGTTCTGCTGGGTGACGGCCACCCAGTTCCACCTGATGTTCTACTGCACGCGGACACTCCCCAACGTGCTGGCCCTGCCCGTGGGTACGTAGCTGCCGGACGCGCCCCTCAGTGGCCCCCTCGCGGTGACAGGTGGGTGGGTGCCCGACGATGGCTGCCCCCACGGGCGTCGTGACAGGACGGCCCGCGCCGGGAAGCACTGTCTGTCCTCGGCTGGGTCGGGGTGCCCTTGTCCGAGAAAAATGCGCCTGGGCCGGTTCCTGGTGCAGGCCGTGGTGTGACTCGGGGGAAGACGGGCAGCTTGCTGTGGGTGCTCTGTGGGCGCCCCAGGCAGGTGGGAGGGACCCCAGGGAGACCAAGGGCGGCGCGGGTTCCGGGCCTGGTGGGACGAGTGGAGTCGGCCAAGGTGGGCGCGGCACGTGGGGGGCCTGGGGCTCCAGATTGGACCGGGTGGTTGGACGCAGCCTCCGGGGTCCGGGCTGCGTGATGGGCGGGGCGTCCCCGGGCTGAGCAGGGTTTGCCGGCTCCCGCGGGGTCTGCGTGGCTTTCGTGGGAGAAGCCAACGCCCGCGTCTCGCCGTCTCCCCAGTGCTGCTGGCCCTCACGGCCTGGCTGCAGCGGAGGTGGGCCCGCTTCATCCGGCTCTCGGCGCTGGCCATCCTGGTCTTCAGGGCCGAGCTGAGCCTGCTCCTGGGCCTCGTGCTGCTGCTGCTGCTCTGCACCCGGCGGCTGACCGTCGCCAGGGCCCTGCGCTTCGCCGTGCCCGCCGGCCTGCTCTGCCTCGGTGAGTCGCTGTGCGGTCCTCCCGCCTGGAGGGGGCGCTCGGCCTCCTGCCACAGCCGCGGAGGGAGGCTGGGCGGGCGGGGGGCGTGGCCGCCAGACAGAGTGGCGGGAACCGTGAGCAGCATCGGAGAGTCTCCAAGCGGCTCCTCCTGCGCGGCCCGAGGGTCCCCGCAAGGCGCGCCCGTCCTCCTGCGGCCCGGGTCATGGGAACCCCACGGGGTGGTGCTCCTGGGGGCCGCAGCCCCAACGCACCGGCTCCTGCCCTGGCAGCTGATGGCGCGCGAGGTCTGGGTCGAGGAGGCAGCTCCGTGGGGACGCGCACCCGGGACCTGGGACTCGGGGCGGCCTCCAGTCCCAGGTGCCTTGTCGTCTCCTGAGGATCTCCGATTCCCTCCGTTAGGGCTGACGGTGGCTGTCGACTCCTACTTCTGGCGCTACCTTGTGTGGCCGGAAGGAACGGTGCTCTGGTACAACGTCGTGCAGAACAAAAGCTCGAACTGGGGGGTATCCTTTGCCTGTCGCCGTGGGCCGGCCGGCGGGGCAGGGTGCCGGCCCGAGGGGGACACGGGACGGGGCCTGACGGGGGCACTGAGGGGTGCGCGGTGGCTGCTGCGGCCTCCAGAGCACCAGGACTGGCGCCGTCCACCCTGTCCCCCCGGGGGAGGTGCCCGCAGGCGCGGTGCAGGGGGCGACCCCACGGCGGCGTGCTGCCTGCCGGGCTCCCCGGGGCCCTGGGACTAACGCCTTCTCTCGGGAGTTAAACCCACGCTGGTGGAATGCACGGTGCACTGAGGCCCCGGGGAGCCCACCGCCTGGGACGGTGTTTTCACAGAGACGAGGGCGGGCAGGTCAGACCCCCGTACAGGACCCGGCACCGTCTGCTGGACTTGATGTGCCGGTCCCGGCCTCCGTCCTCCGTCCGCAGGGGAAGGGGGTCCCGGGACCCCGGGCAGGGACGCCTGTCAGGGCCATGTCTTCCGTGTGCCCCCGGCCTGAGCCGCGGCCTCCTTGACCCTCCCGCCCAGACCTCGCCGCTGCTCTGGTACTTCTACTCGGCCCTGCCCCGCGGCCTGGGCGGCAGCCTGCTCTTCGTGCCCCTGGGCCTGGTGGACCGCAGGGCCCTGGCGCTGCTGCTGCCGGCCCTGGGCTTCGTGGCCCTGTACTCGCTGCTGCCGCACAAGGAGCTGCGCTTCATCATCTACACCTTCCCCCTGCTCAACGCCGTGGCCGCTCGGGGCTGCGCCTACCTGTGAGTGCCGGCGCCGCTTCCGGCTCCCCCTCGCGCGGCGTCCCTGGGGCTGGGGGGTGGGGGGGTTCTCGAGGGCAGCAGGGCGGCTGTGGCTGTCGTGGCTGTCGTGGCAGTGTGTCTGTGTGTCTGTGGCAGGAGGCGGTGGCGCACCAGGTCCCTCCCCTCCCACAGGGATGCACGTGGCAGCAGAGTTCCTTCGCGAACACCAATTCCGGGTCCTGGGGTGAAGGTTTGGGTGGTGGGTTTGCGGCTCGAAGGGCAGAGATGGGTCTCACACTTGCGAGCTTTCTGCCTGTGCCTGGTCCACGGCCACCTCCCCATCGCCAGGCGTGGCCGGAACACGGGAGTGCTGGCAGCGTGGGGCTCCCTCAGGCAGCCGCCCCAGGGCTGGGCTCGCCCTCGGGGTGCCACCCTGACCGGCGGTGGGTGACAGCGTGACGCCGAGGGCCTGCAGTCCCCACGGGTCGAGCCCTCGTCGGGCAGAGCACAGCAGGGCCTGCCCAGAGCCTGGGCACGGGTCCCGGGGTCCCCTGAGCCGACGGGCCAGCACCCTCGGCAAAGGAGCAGGCGGTGGTGCCTTGGTGCTCGCCGTCGGTTCGTTCCCGGAGCTCGTGGTGAGCGCCGGAAACCGGCGAGCACAGGGGGTGACGAGTTCTGAAGCTGACGGTACCGAGGTCCCTTGTTCTCTCTCTGTGGGCCTCACGGTCCCTGGCGGGGCCCCTGCTCCCGCACGCCCGATAGGCGTCGTCTCCTGCATGCGCTGCGGAGCTCGGGGCGTGGCCTGGGGGCGTGGCCTGGGGGCCGTGCTCCGGTCTGAGCCAGAGCCCAGCGTGTTTCCGAGTCCAACAGCAGTTTTAGTGTCTTGGGTGGGATTTCACCGAGGGAAGTTCTTGGGTGATTTCATCCCCTTTCTCCAGCACTTTGTGCACTTGGTTACACTCGCGACTCCGCGCAGGGGCCCGGCCGGGCTGCGTGCCCAGCGCCGTGTCTTCCCCTGTGCTGCCCCGCGCTCCCCGCCAGACACGCCGCTCTCTCTGCAGACTGAACAACTACCGGAAGTCGTGGCTGTACAAAGTGGGGTCCCTGCTCGTGGTCGGGCACCTTGTGGTGAACGCCGCCTACTCGGCCACGGCCCTGTACGTGTCCCACTTCAACTACCCCGGGGGCGTGGCCATGCGGACGCTGCATGAGCTGGTGCCGCCCCAGGCAGGTGGGTGCTCGCCCCGGGGACCACCGCGCCCTGGGCTGGGGGCGCCTGGCCGCGGTCTCACTGAGCGCACACGGTTCTCCGCAGACGTCGTCCTGCACATCGACGTGGCCGCCGCGCAGACGGGTGTGTCCCGGTTTCTGGAGGTCAATGGCGCCTGGAGGTATGTTCCCTTTGGGATGTGACGACAGGTGGCGGTGGCGGCAGCCCTCCCCCCAGGGGCTGGCCCGGGCTCCCTGGGGCTGCCGGGTTGGGGGGCTGGTGTGGGCCGGGCACAGGCGCGTGCACGCTCCTGCCTTGCAGGTACGAGAAGAGGGAGGACCTGCGGCCTGGGGCTGAGCGCGCGCTGGCCTACACGCACCTGCTCGAGGAGGCAGCGCCCGATCGCCTGGCCCTCTACCGGGACACACACCGGGTGCTGGCCAGGGTCGCGGGCATCACCGGGGCGAGTCTGAACCTGACCCAGCTGCCTCCCTTCAGCGTCCACCTGCAGACAAAGCTGGTGCTTCTGGAGAGACTCCCGAGGCCCTCCTGAGGGGGCCACACGGTGTCCCCGGGCTCCTCCAGCATCCGGCACGAGGCAGCAGCAGGGCAACAGCCCTGGGGCCACAGTGCGCTTCCCGCCGGGCCCGAGGGGCCAGCCGCGCCTGCCGGCCGCCGCGCCGCACTCCGCCAGTGGGAGCGAGGGCCCCGGACACAGTCTCGGGCCCGGTGGGCTCCTGGGCTCTGCCAGCCCCCCGTGCGGTCACGGGACAGGGTCCACCTCAGGGGCGGTTCAGGATGCACGCGTGTTCAGACGGGACGAGAATTAAAGTTTGTAAGCCTTTCCTCATCAGCGGTCTCGTGTACGGCGTGTTTCCAGGGAGCGCCTACACCGAGACTCTGTTCTTCGGTGATGATTCGGGCACGTGTACGATTTGCTGAACCAAAGCTACTGAATCAAGTAGCCAAAGTGTGTCTGACGTCAAAGTCATTGCAGAGAACAGTGCACACGTGTGCATGCACGTGCCCCCACACACGTGCATAAAGACAAGCTATTGTGGCCTGAGTGTTCTCAGGGAATGGGGGTGCCTGCTGCGTGCCCTGTGCCCCCGAGTGCCCTGGTGTGTCCTGGGAGAGACAGCTCGCCGCAGTGTCTTCCCCAGCGTGACCCACGGTCTGCGGCCCCTTCAGACCGGGGCCTCTCGCAGCTGTCCCCAGCTCGGCGCCTGCCGACAGGGCTCCCCGCAGCCTGTGCGGGGCCTCCGCGCCTGCCCGTTGGCACTGGGCGCTGCGTGCGTGCGTGTGTGTGAAGTTCCACGCGGCCCCGCATCGTCGGTTCTTGCTATTTATCTGCGATCGGCATTTACCACTCCGCCGACCACTTCTCCGCGTTCAGCTGTGGTGGTTGACGACCGCCGCGCATGCGCCGGTTGCCGGCTGGAGCCGACGGCCTGCGAGTCACCGCACCCACTTACCTTGGGGTTCAGAGTGTGCAGGACCCGCCCCGGAGCCTGTCAGGCTGCTCCGTCCTGTCACATGCCCCGTCGCTGTTACTTTCTGGGGCACTTTCCTACCCGGCCCGCCCACGCCCCTCCTGGCCTCTGTCCCTGCCCTGCGACCCGCTCTTTTCCCTGGGGGCTCCTTGTGGTGGGGAACGGTTTCTCCCACCAAGGGCTGGTGCAGAATGCGCCCGCCGCTGTCGGGAGGTCCGCCGCCGTGGGCGGAGCTAGGCAGAGCGGGGCTGCACACGCACGGCCGCGTGCGCACGTCACGCTGCGTGCTGACGCCTGCAGTTCCACCCGTCGGTGGGTTTGTGTGCACCCCCCCCACCCCGTCCACGTCTGTCCCAACCCCCACAGTGGGATCCTGGACCCAGAAATAGCAACGTGTTTGTTTGGCGGGGCGACCGGTTTTGGAACTGCTTTGCCACGCACGCCCCTGTGGGAGCACCCCCAAGGCAGAGCGCGGGTGTTGCACCCTGCCCTGCGGTGCCCACGCGGGAGGCTCGCGGTCAGCCGCTGCCCTCGGATGAGTCCGGCTGGGCCGTGGCTGTGCTCGCCACTGGACTGGCCGCTGGACTCGCGCTCTGTGTCTGCTTCCGGTCTCGGGGCCGGCCTTCTGGCTCTTCCCGGTCGTCGGACCCGGGCGGAGCCTGCGCGGGGGCGTGGCTCCCTCCGCCTCGCATCCACGCCGCCGCGTCCACGCGGTGGTTTCCCGGCGGTCCTCGCGCCGCTGCCTGTAGTGGCGCTGAGCCGGCCCCTCCGTTCGTCACACCGGCGGCAGCGTCCTGCATCGCCGCGCTCTGCCGGAGCGCCTGCAGCCGCGCGGCCTGGCCCCGGAGAGCTCCCGGGGTTGGGACACGGGGCCCTGGGTCAGGCGGACAGCCGTTCTTCCGTCTCCTGGGTGTGGGCACGTAGGGGGTTGGCAGCATTTTCAAACTTCAGATGCTGCCGCGGCAACTCGCCGTACGCCTTTGTACTTGCACGTGGTTCAAGGGCATCTTCGAGGTAAGTCCCTGGAGGTGGGGTGCTGGGTCGGGGCCAGTGCCCTGAGCTTGGCCCGGTCGTGCCGAGCTCCTCTCCCCGGCGCAGCCCGGGGCTGAGCGGGTCTGCTAAACCCTGTCCGTGTCCCGCTTTTCAGTCTTCGAGGTGAGACCTGGCGTCTCCCGGTGGGGTGCTTGCCCTTGCTTCCCCGAAGAGAGGGCGGAGAGGTGTCGTCTCACAGCTCGAGGGCTCTCTTTCCTCTAAGCGGACGGGTCATATTTCTCGTCTGTTCTCCCTTGGATTGCTGGTCATTGTCCACTCATGTCCTAAAATCCCTTCCGTGAGTAGCGCATTCACCCATTATTACATGCATGTTGCCAGTACTTTCTCCACGTGTCCTGGCACAAGTGTCCGCCTGAGGCTTTCGCGTTCACGGGTCTTCTCTTTCCCGCATCCCGGTTGGGAGCGTTCCCGCGCAGGAGCGCGCCCTCGCCTTCTCTCCCTGCCCCCGTGGTTCCTCTTCCACGTGTGGACTTCTCATCCGTTCCGGCTGTTTTTGTTCATTGTGGGGGGTGGGGCTGTTTTTGCACGTGAAGTCACAGGCTGAGCTTCTGCATCGCGTTTCGGCAGTCACCGATACAGCCCCTGTACACACCCGCGTGCAGGCGCTGGTGTGGTGCACACGTGCGTTTCCAACTCCTTCGGGCGGATCCCAGGGAGCACGCGCTGACTGGAGGGGGAAGAGCATGTTCAGTTTCTTGAGAAACCGACGGTCCGGCGCCCACCGTGGCTGCCCCGGCCGCATCCCCACCGGCAGCCAAGCGAGGGCTCCTGCCGCCCCGGGTCCTTGCCTGCATCCGGCGTTGTCAGGTGTGCTCCCGCCGCCTCGGTCGGTTTTTCTCCCTGTGCTGAGCTGCGCCAGGTGCGAGGGGCGGCCGTCGGTGACGCGGTGGTGGGACCGCTCTGCGGTCCTACGATCAGGCTCAGGCTTCGGTGCAGTCGGTGGTCTGCGCTGCGACCGTCACAGGAGTGTCTCAGTTCTCTGCTCCCCCTCGGCTGGGGCAGGTGGTGCGGGTGGAGCTGGGTGTTTCCCTTCCCCCATCAGTGTCCCTCTGGCCTGGTAGTTTCTCCCGTGAGCTGTCCTTGTTAAAAACAAAACAAAACAAAACAAAAACAGAGCATTCTGAAGAAAAAGAGAAAGTGGGGAGGAGGAAGAAAAACGGAGGGCTCTGGTGTCTTTAGAATGGCTCATTTCCGTTTCTCCGGGAAACACGAGGATTTGTCTCTGATACTTCCCGTGGGAACCTGCTGGAGCTTCGGGAGGAAAGTCGCACCGTAAGGCGGGTCACTCTCCGCTGGGCCTCCGGAAAGTCATCGCGTAGGTCCAGGGAGCCCCGGGTACCAGTTCCCACGGCAGCTTCTGCCTGCGCGTCTCTGCTGCAGGAAGCCGTGACGTCTCGTGTCTGCCCGGCGCGCCGCTCTGGGGAGCAGGGATTCGTGCTGAGACCCCCATCGTCTTACAGATCTGAGGGGAGTTGCTGACTTTTCCACTTTTCTGCTTTTTACTTGGTAAAAGGTAAAGGATGGAATGGCATCTTGCAAGTTCCTTATATAAGGAACCCCAAACCAGAAGTCAGTAATTTTTTAAAAATCAGGTGGAAAAGAAAAGGGAGTTACAGGGCATTGTTGCAGTGAAACTAGTTTTTGTGCTTGCCCGTGTGTTTCCATTTTCCTGAACGATTTACTTCTTCCCATGCCTTCGTGTCACTGTCCGGTGGCCGTTCACGTCACCGCAGCGCTCTCCTGAGCACCTCCGGCAGGGTGGGGTCTAGTGGTCACTGACTCCCGTGGCCTTTTGCTTATCCAGGAATGTCTTAATTTATCCCTCGATTTTTGTTTTCTCCAAAATTTTATTTATTTATTTTTAGAGAGAGGGAGTGAGAAAGAGGAGATAAACATCAATGTGTGTTGCCTTTCATGTGCCCCCTACTGGGGACCTGGCCTGCAGCCTGGGCATGTGCCCTGACTGGGAATCGAACTGGCGACCCTTTGGTTCACAGGCCTGCACTCGATCCACTGAGCCACAGGAGCCAGGGCTGTCCCTCACTTTTGAAGGAAGTTTTACTGGATGTAATATTCTTGGTTGATAGCTCTTTTTAGCCCTTTGAAGGTCTCTTAGTTTCCAAGGTTTGTGAGGAGAAATCTGCTGATCATCTTATTGATAATTACTGGTGTGTGACGAGTCATTTCTGCTGACATCTTCAAGACCTTGTCTTAACAGTCCACTTATGCAGTGTGTCTCAGCATGGGTCTTTTTGAGTTCATCTTACTTTGTGTTCCCTGAGCTTAATGGATGTTTTTTTTTTTTTAATTTAAGCTGGGTATTTTTTTTAAATATATGTTATTGATTATGCTATTACCGTTGTCCCATTTCTCCCCCTTCATTCCTTTCCACCCTGCACACCCTCTCCCACCCACATTCCCCTCCTTTAGTTCATGTCCACATGTCATAAGTTCTTTGGCTTCTACATTTCCCGTACTATTCTCACCCTCCCCCTGTCTATTTTCTACCTACCATCTATGCTACTTATTCTCTGTACCTTTTCCCCCCTCTCCTCCTCCCACTCCCCTGTTGCTAACCCTCCATGTGATCTCCTTTTCTGTGGTTCTGTTCCTGTTCTAGTTGTTTGCTTAGTTTGCATGTGTTTTTGTTTTAGGTGTGGTTGTTAATAATTGTGAGTTTGCTGTCATTTTACTGTACATGTTTTTTATCTTTTTCTTAGATAAGTTCCTTTAATATTTCATATAATAAGGGCTTGGTGATGATGAACTCCTTTAACTTGACCTTATCTGAGGAGCACTGTATCTGCCCTTCCATTCTAAATGAAAGCTTTGCTGGATAGAGCAATCTTGGATGTAGGTCCTTGCCTCTCATGACTTGGAATACCTCTTTCCAGCCCCTTCCTGCCTGCAATGTCTCTTTTGATAAATCAGCTGACAGTCTGATGGGAACTCCTTGGTGGGCTACTGTCCCCTTATCTCTTGCTGCTTTTAAGATTCTCTCCTTATCTTTAATCTTGGGTGATGTAATTATGACGTGCCTTGGTGTGTGCTTCCTTGGGTCCAACTTCTTTGGGACTCTCTGAGCTTCCTGAACTTCCTGGAAGTCTACTTCCTTTGCCAGATTGGGGAAGTTCTCCTTTATGATTTGTTCAAATAACTTTTCCACTGGTTGCTCTTCCTCTTCCTCTTTTATTAACATACAACAGCATTCGTTCACTGAAACCACACAGTTCCGGAGGCTTACTTACACAAATGGCTTTTCATCGTGAGTGACCAGAGAAATGCCCCCACAGCCAGGGAGATGGACGGGGTGACACCCAGTCTGAAGAAGGGGCGGCGGGTGGACGGTGGAGAGCAGGGGTGTTTCTAGGTGCCCCCAGGGCCCCCCAGCGGCAGACACCGGTGTCAGGCCTGGCGGGGAGCGGGCAGCCCAGGCAGCGTCCGTGTGGGCTCACCGCCTCCTGGGAGGCGGCCGGCAGCACGAGGACCTGGGTTCAGACTGTCTCCTCTGCTTGCTGCCCATTTCCGTCCGCACGAGCAGACGTGTGAGGCACGGAGACCCCACTGAGGCCCCCTGAGGTCCACACTGGAGCCCTGCTCGCTGCCCACTGAAGCGAGGGTGGGCTGCTGCAACCCCCCGTCACACACAGCCGGGACGTCATCATGCTGCACTCGCAGCCCCACAGCCTGTGGCCGAGCGGCGAAAGTGCGACAGAGAGGGGGAGCGGCCCGGGCGCTGGCCAGCTTGTCCTGCGAAGGACCCGAGAGTAACCCTCCCGCTCGGTGGGCCTGCCTCCCTGACCCCCATTCAGCGCTGCCCCTCGGCCTGGGGGCAGTGCAGGCAGGACACGGAGGGGACCTCCCCCGGCAGACGGGCGGCGGGCCCGACTGCACTGGGGCGCGGTGGGCACGGCTGAGACTGTGGGCCCCGAGGGAGAGGGCTGCACCCACCCGGACCAGGTTCAGGGGCAGCAGCCATGAGGGGGGTGGGAACAGGACACGCCGCTAGGGCAAGGGGCTCGAACGTCAGCGCCAGGCCCGGCCTGTGCCGGGGATGGGGAGGGGGCAGCAGAGGCCTGGGCCGCACTGCTGTCCGGCGGCTCACAGTCCCCACGTGCTCAGTGCTCCCCTCCTGTCCCAGCCTGAGTCGAGCCCTCGGAGCGTGAGCACAGAGGCAGGGAAGGACGTCAGCACCGGTGCCTGACAGGAGCTGGGTGACCCCACCCGGGCCCTCGTGTGGCCTGCAGAGCCCCAGGGGACGAGGAGCCCCAGCCTGTGACGCGTGAACCGGAAGCAGAAGCGGTCCAGAGCCCGCAGCCACTCTGAGCGGAAGCCCGGAACCAGGCATGCGGACCTTTCGAAGAAACCTTCCCCGCGTCAGGGCCGGCGGAGCGCTCCGGTGAGCGGCCAGGGCCCCCCGCCGGAGGGGCGTGCGCTGCCCTGCTCTGCCGGGGCCTGTGAGGGCGCTCACTGCCAGCCCCAGGCAGGAACCCCTGAGCCCGACACTCCGCCCCCGCCACGCCCACCCCGGCCTCTGCGCTCGGCTCCCGGGCCTGGTGGGGCCTGGTGGGGCCTGGTGGGACCGGAGGGCCCGCGTCCCAGACCCGGGAGCTCTTTACCCACAAGACACATTCACAGGAGTTTTCGGGTCAGCCCGGGCAGGCCACACCAGCGTGACCCACGCGTGCACACCCCCGGTCAGAGCTCCCTGGGCGCCCCGGGAACGTGCCCACGGCAACACGGGTGGGCGCCCCCGCGGGCGGGGCTGCGCACGGCCTTTTCCTCGGACCCCGCGAGGGGCGGGGCATTCGTCCGAGCACACGTCAGCACCACGCTCGGACACGCCGCTGCGGCAGGGCCCACGTCCCACCTGGAGCCGCGCAGAGACTCAGACGCGCGTGCGTGTGGTTTCCGCGTGTGGTGGCCCCCAAGGAGGACGGCCGTGTCGTCGCCCGAGGAATAAAGAGGCAGCATCCTCCGACAGTAGAAAATCGGAAATAGAAAGTTTAATTTCAGAAACAGTTCACCGTTTATAAATACACTGAAACACAGTCGGCGCAGAGCCGGACCGACAGGTACAGCATTTCTGACGACACACCTACTCGGCAGGGTCAGAGGCAACGAGGGACTCGTCTCACCTGGCGTAATTAATTGGTGTGACATGAGCCACCGAGCCCTCGTGTAGGTGCTGCCGCAACAGCTCTGGGACACGTCATTGCAAAGGGATCCGACAACCGACAATTCATGCCGGTGTCCCGGGACTCTGAGATACCCGTGATGGCGGAGTCCTCCCCCTTCTAAAGAACCTGAAGAGCTAAGGCCGTTCTTGCAACTGTGACGGGACCACCTGCTTCCCTTCCCTGGTAACGAGCCACCTCTTCTAGAGAGGGTTTCACGTGTGGCCTCATCCGACTGGGGGGTCCACACGGATGTCAAAAGACCCCTCAGAGAGCAGAGACGCTGCGTCAGGCGTGGAGGAGCGGTCACCAGGACCGCGTCGCGGTCACGGCCGGCCAGGAGGGCTCCGGGTGACCTGGCCGCGGGAGGCCTGGACGCAGGCAGGAACACGGGGCGTTCCCCTCGGCCGCCACCGTGCAACCCACGCCCCACGACGCACGTGAGTCTGGCTGTCTCCCCAGATGCCCCATCTGCGTGCAGGGAAGGTGCCTTCCGGAACACTCTCTGCATGCCACACGCACGTCACAGCTGCGGGCAGACACCGCTCGGTCAGGATGGCTTCAGCTCCTCCGATTTACAGCTTCTGCTGGACAGCCCGAAGGCCGTTTGGTTGCAATAAAAACAATTTTTCACTAAAATACAGTACCTGATTTGTGGTTTTTTACATAATAAAAACGTACAGAATAAAATTGTTTACATCTTCTATGTCATTCTAGTAAAACAAATGACTACCCCCAGCTTTTAAAAAACTTTACAGTTAAGGATTAAAACTTAATCATCGTATTTCATCATCGATGAGACTGGCTATTTCTAGTGGCTTCTTGAGAGACACGTCATGTACCTGGCCTGAAGAGCTAGCAGTAAGGCACACGGGGACGTTACAGTGAGTCTGGAGGGGCACTCGGTGCGGACCTGAGGGGGCCTGGCCGGTGTCCGCCCGGCCCCGGCCGCGGCCGGCCACCAGGCCACAAGCGCTGGTGCCTCGTGAGCGACACCATCTGTAGCCTGGGGGCTCCGCGGCGACTTCAATACTGGAAGTATATCAGAGGAAGATTCACTTTCAAAAAGATGAGTTTTTCAAAATGCTCCATCAGGAGCCTGGACTGGCCGAAGCCACCGTTCTCGGTGGGCGTGCTGAACAGCCGTTCCGACGGGACGATGCTCGGGGGACAGCCCAGAAACCTGACGGCCAGGGCCGCCAGGCCGGGCCAGGCCGACCTCTTCAGGCTCCAGTAGGCGAGCGGGTCGCAGCTGTGCTCCAGCACCTCCTCCTCCAGGTACGCGAGCACCATGGCCTCGGGCACCTTCGCCCTCTCCCGCGGGCCCTTCTGTGTCACCTGGGCCATGAGGGACCACAGGCTCTCGACCCCGCCGGAGGCTCTGGGTGGGGAGCCCGGGCCACACCCGTTGGAGACGGGGGCGTCCTCTGAGGTAGAATTCAGCATTTCCAGTTCCCTGATCAAGTCCTGCTTGTACTGCTCCGCCTCCTCCTCGGAGAACAGGGAGGCTTTGTAGCGAGGGTCCAGCAGCGTGGCGAAGACGTACCGGGGGTCGCGGAGGGTGGCGGACAGGCGGCTCACCATGGCTTCCTTCAGGGACTTGAGCATGGTGTCGATGCCCGTGGTCTCCTCGAACAGCATCTCGACCTTCCTGTTCAGGATGTGGATCATGGGGATGACCTGGCCGAGCGTGGACACGTGGCCGCTCATCTCCCGGCTCGCGGCGTCGAAGGGCTTCAGCGCGCGGCACACGGACCGCATGACCTCCCACTGGTCGCAGCTGATCAGCTCCCGGAACCCGCACTCGGCGGACATCTCGTCCACCGCCCTCTTCTGCTCCACGAGCCGCTCCAGCATGCGCAGCGACGTGCCCCACCGGGACGGGACGTCCTGCAGCAGGTGGTGCGGCGGCAGCTCGTGCTCCCGCTGCAGCTCCGCCAGCCGCTCGCGCGCCCGGTGCGACCGCAGCACCCGCTCGCACACCTTCCGGGCGACGCTCAGCAGGCTCTGCACCAGGCGCTGGCCCTTGACGGCCTCGCCCACGATGAGGCTCACCGTGTGGCTGAAGCACTGCACGCTGGAGTGCTCCGCCTCGCGCAGCGTCTCCCCGATGCCGGGGTTGTCCGTCACCGTGATGCCGACCTGCAGGCCGGTGGACGTCACCCAGGCCTCCCACCAGCACTCCAGCTGCTTCTGGACGCTGCTGCCGCTGTAGTCGCAGTCCACCGGCGACACGTCCAGCAGTGCCGAGCAGTGGCGGTCCTCGGCGTGCGGCCGGGCCGGGGACGCGAAGGTGACCCAGTGGGCGGTGAGCGTCAGGTACTCCCGGGTCTGGTGGCTCGTCCAGATCCCGGCTGTGAAGTGGACCACACCGCTCTCTGCCTCCTTGAGGTGGGCCCTGATGATCTGCTTCACGCTGTCGTACATGCCCGGGATGGCCGTCCTGGAGAAGTAGGAGGGGGAGGGCAGGGAGTACTGGGGCTTCAAGTACGCGAGCAGCCTGCTGAAGCCGACGTTGTCCACCACCGAGTACGGCTGGAGGTCAAGTGCGATCATCTCAGCCACGAGACTCGTGATCTTTTTGGCCACTGGATGCGAATCGTAGAACTTCTCGTCGGCGTCATCAAAGGAGGCGGCTCCCGACAGTTCTGCGCGCAGGGGCACACGCACGCCCGGAGCAGGGGGCAGTGTGGCCTTGGGCGCGTCGGCCGCCAGCACGCTGCCGTGGAACCTCTGCAGGTGCCGCAGGAGACAGCTGGTGCCCAGGTTGGTCGGCTTCTTGCCCCTGCTTATCGTCCGGCCGCAGTGCAGGCACACGACCTTGGTGGGGTCCGCGGGGCAGACGGAGAAGTGGTTCCACAGCTTGGAGGTCTTCTTGCTGTGGACGGGAACCAGGGCCGGGCTGTTTCTTAGGGCCGCCGCCGCCACGTCGGTCAGCCTGGAGGAGGAGCCCTCTGCAGAAGCCACGGCGCCGTAGGAAGAATGGGCCGGACCGCCCCCCAGGAAGCCCTTCTGGCTCCCGACCACGTCCGGGTGGCGTCTGTACAGATGCCTCATCAGACAGCTGGTGCCCACGTCCCCCTTCTTCCCTCGGCTGACGGCGCAGCCGCAGTGCCGGCACACCGCCTTCAGGCTGTCCGTGGGGGCCAGCGAAAAGTGGTGCCACACCTCCGACTTCAGCCTCTTCATCACCCGCTTGTTCTGCTGGAACACGGCCCCGGGCTCGGCCCCGGGTGGGCCCGACCCGTCTCCCCGTCGCTTCTCGGGGGAGGACGCGGAGGCGGCCTCGCCGACCTCGTCGGAGGACGACAGCGCTGACGGATCATCCCTCAGGGCGCCCCCAGGGCTCAGCCGCACCAGCCTGTCCTCGGTCAGGGGGTCAGGGGACGAGGCCGGCAGGAAGGGCTCCTTGACGAGCTTCCCGGGGGACGAGGACAGAGCCCTGGGCTCCCCCTCGGGGGGCGGGAGGGCGGGCAGCAGGGCGGGGGCCGTGGAGTACGGGGGCGGCACGCCCGCGCCCCCGCTCTTCTCCTGCAGCACGATGGCCCGGTGCGCCCGCCACATGTGCCGGATGAGGCAGCTGGTGCCCAGGTCCTTGCCGTTCTTCCCACGGCTGAACTCGTTCATGCAGTGGACGCACACGGCCTTGGAGCTGTCCAGGGGAGACAGGTAGAAGTGCTTCCAGACCGCGGACCACCTGCGGGACCCGGAGGTGCCCTTCGGCAGCGGGAGGCTCCTCTCGGGCCCGCTGTCTGCAGCGTCGTCGCAGTGGGGCGTGAGGGGCGGCGGCCCCGCGTGGGGCTCGTCCCTGGGGCACTTCTCAGAGGCAGGCGGGTCGGAGACGGGCGCCTCTCTGGAAGACAGGGCGGGCGTGGACTCCTCGGCCGCCCAGTCGGGGGATGGGGCCTGGGAGGCCGTTTTCTGACCGAGCTGGACGGGCAGCGGGGCGGGGGCGGGGAGGGGCACCAGGGCAGACACGCTGCCGTCCTCCCGGACGAGCGCCGCGGGGTGCGCCCGCCGCACGTGCCGCATGAGGCAGCTGGTGCTCAGGTCCTTCTCGTTCTTGCCGCGGCTGAACTCCTTCATGCAGTACACGCACACGGCCTTGGTGCTGTCGCGCGGGGAGATGACGAAGTGCTTCCAGGCCGGGGACTTCTTCCTGGAGCCCGCGCCGCGGGCGGCCAGCAGGCTCTGCGTCACGGCCTCCATGGCGACATCATACAGGGTGCTGCTGTACTGGGAGAACAGCGCCCCGTAGTCCTCCTCATGGTCGGCCGGGAAGGCCCCCCCGGGGGGTGCGCCCCCGCGGCTCGCTTCCCCGGCGGCCGCCTGCTCGTCGCCGCTGTCGGCCGCCTTCCTGCCCTCGCGCTCAGCTTTGAAGTCCATTCTTTCCAAATTGCAGTGCAGAATGGGACCATCCTCCTCCTCTTCTGTTTTAATGTTTACTTTTTCTGAAAGGAAAGCACCGCCCCCTTGGGGACGGGTTTCCTGGTTATTCTCCATGACGGACCATAACTATTCCAGCCGTGTCCTCACGTCGACCTGTGTGTCCGGTTGAAGAAATGGCGCAAACGCTCGTCTGCGTCCCCAAACGTAACTATCTTCAGTGTTTCCCAAGCCACCGCGTCTTTGGGGACACTCATGAATATGGCCGACCACACGTCTCACTGGAACGCGGAGGCCCTGGCTCGTGAGCACGCCCGGTCGGGGTGCAGACCGCCGCCGCCAGGAGTCCTGCTGAGTGCTGGGCGGCGCGGACACCGGTGCGGCCCGTGCAGACCCTCCTGCTGTCCTGGAGGCGGGGCCGCTGCCATGTCATCAGTCCCTCTGCATTACCTACGGGAGACGGAGTCAGGTCAGTGCTGAACGGAACCACACCTTCACACCCGCAGTCCCAGGGACACACCAACCTCAAGATGCAGAAAATAAATTCCGTAATGGTAAGTTAAAGAAAAACTTGTTCCTTGACCTTTGTAGATTCTATTTATGTATAATATGAAAATACACTAAAACTACAGAATAAGCTAGAATGCAGATGAAGACACGCCTGTACACTTAAATGACCCGTCAGCCGTGGGTTGGGGAAGCCCTTCAGCAGCACAGAGGCCGGCCTGGCCCAGAGCAGGCGTGGAGTGGGTGCCCTCACCCACCACGGAGGTGCCCGGGCGTGCGACCATCGGCAGAGCTGACTCCCTGCAGTCCATTCTTCCCAGCCTGGCCCAAAAACCGGCCCACGAACGAGGAGCAGAAAGCCTGCAGCGACCCCCTGGAACCACCAGGGCACAGACCAGACACCGAGGGGGGTTCTGCCCGAGTCATGTGGCATCCAGCCCCCGGGGAGCAGCCGTCCCCAAGAACCGTGACCCCCAACACGACGACCACCGGAAACGAGGGCACGCGCACCTGATGCAGGCCCACAGTGCCGTGCTGTGGCAGCGAGGCAGGCGGGAGTGGCACGGGCTGACGAGGCGACAAAGAGCAGCAGACACCCGTTCTTGGCACCTTGGAGACACACACGCCAGGGAGGGCACACTCACTGCGATGTAAAATGGACTTTACGTGACCTTCAAAAACCTTCCTTTTCCTTGCTCTGACACCAGTGGCGGGGGGGGGGGGGTCAATGTAAGTACAAGCAGACAATAAAGACTCAGAATGGCACATGAGCCAAAACCAGGATGCCAGGTGGCGGGGACAGAAAACGGGTGTGAGTCTCTGGCTCAGCAGACTCACACACCCGTCTGAAGCCCAGTGCAGAGGGCAAGGAAAGAGAAGGGGAAGGAGGAGCTCATGTTTGGCCGTGGGAGGGCGGAATGGTGGCGGAGGGTGGGGGTCCTGCCCGGCTGGGAGCTGAGCTGGATCGAGGGGCGGGCCAGCTCCCTGGAGCGGATGGCGGCTGCCCCGCCGGGCAGGGTGCTGGCTTCAGGCTTCACCCCGGCGCCTGCTCCGTGTCCAGTGGCCGGCTGGAGGCGGGCCCCAGACCCACTCGGTGCCCCAACAGACAGCACACCCTTGCCCCCTCACGCCCGTCCAGGGCCAGCACGGCCTGGGGGAGGCCCCTGGGAGGCGCTGGACACCCAGCGATGCACCACTGTCACCAGAGCGGTGCCGGCCGCAGCGGCCTGTGCCCAAACCCGTGCGCGGAGCACTGGGCCGCCCGAGCCCTACACGGGAAAGACCCCAGCCCGCCTGAGACGCTGCTCACAGGGACGTGACACGAGTGTGTGACTGCACGTGCGTGTGTGCTTACCGAGCTGTGTGACATGTCCGTTCTGTGTTTTTATGTGCACGTGTATAGAGGCGGCTAGACAGGAGCCTGTCCAGAAAGTTTCCAGCCGTGCAGCACCAAAAAGCAGCGTTTGTTACAGAAGATACGAGGTATGAGAAACACTGCACATTAGACCGTGATGCCTCAGTCCCCTTCACAGTAGGCGCCTTGGGACTCCCAGTTGCCATCAGCTGCCCTGTTGCATTGCCCTGAGTCTCACTGATGGCCTTAAATCTCTTCCCTTTCACCTTGATTTTAGTTTTGGGAAAAGCCAGAAGTTGCAGGGTGCAAATCTGGGTTGTAGGGGGGCTGAGTCACCTGGGTAATCAGAGGTTTAGCAAAAAAAAACAAAAAAACAAAAACCAAAACAAACAAAAAAAAAACATTCTGCATGAGACATGGTGCACGAGCAGACTCATTGTTGAGATGTGGCCGCCAATCACCAGCTGCCCACAGTGGGGGCCTTCTGAGTCATCTGAGTAGTTTCCACGGGGGCAGGGGGGTATTCAAGCTTTAATGCAAAATCCGACACAAGTTCGTTGTTCTACTCGCGCAGTTTGACTGCGACAGCCACACAGCACACACACACACACTCAACGGCATCTACCCCCCCACTGGGGAGTACAGTGAAGGTGTCACTGTTCACACGTACACATTCCAGTCCACTCTCGTTGGCTGCCAGGTCACACCATGTTGCACAAACCGTTCTCATTATAGTAACGACGGCTGGACCTTTTCTGGTCAGTCTGTCGGTTGGTCTCCCTCCCTCCCTGTCTCTCTGTACAAACACACACACGTACACATGTATCCGCCCCCAGTGCCTGCTAACACGTGGTCTCTGAGCCTGGTTCCTGACACAGAGCTCGTGAGTGACAGCGGGGTCTCCTGTGCGGATGAGGCACCGCCGGGCGGCTCCTGCGTGGGGACTCGGCACTAGAGAGGCCGGGCCGCAGTCCGCAGCTTGCAGCCACAGCCCTTCTCGCTCCCCCACTCCCTGGACGGGGGCAGACAGGCTGGAAGCGGAGTTGGTGGGCGATCGTGCCGATGTGATGAAGCCCCGGAAAAATCCCCAAAATACAGGCTTTGGGGGACTCCTGCTTTGGTGAACACCAGCAACAAAGGAATTAAGGCCAAATCCCACAAAAAGATGAGAGAAAAAAATAATGAAGAACAGAAAAACATCTTTACAGATACTGAAAGCACAGAAGAAAACCCTAACCTCAAGTGAAGTAAAAACTGTAAGTTACTTCAAAAGAGGCTAATGATGTTAATAAATAATACAGAAGAACAACATAAATCAGGGTACAAAAACACTGAAATGAGGTTACGGATCCTAGAAAAATACTAGAAACAAAGTGAAACATCACTTCAAGGATAAAAACTAAGTTATAAGTCACATAGGAATACACAAAGTCCGCAGATGACTGCTTAAGATAAACAGGAGAGAGGATTTTGAAGGGGGGGGGAGAAGGGGGCAGAGACACACGGGCGGGCCGCCCTCTGCATACGCCCCAAGCCGGGACCGCACCCACAGCCCGGCCACGGGCCCTGACCAGGACTCCGAGTGGTGACCTTTGGGTCTGCGGGACGATGCCCACCCCACTGAGCCCCCCGGGCTGGGGCAGAGGAGGGTTTTCTAAATGAAACAAATGAAAGTACAGACTCCAGAGAGGCTGACCGATTGAAAAGGCAGCAGAGAAGACCCACAGGTGCATAAGCAGAGCACCCCTTGCCAGAAAGGGGGGCAGAGCACCGAGAACGTAGACACCCTCCTGGAGTGCAAACCGCAGACGGAGGAGTGCACCGTGCAGCTGCGAAAGCCCACCCCAGCCCTCACTGCCGGGTCGGTGCAGTCACATGACTGCGCCCGAAGGGAACTGCCACTCGGGCCGAGGACCGGGGCACGCACCGCCCGGGGAAAGCATACGGAATTGCCACGAGTCTGACGGCAGTGTTTTACGCTGGAAGGCAAGTAAACAACATACCTGAGATATTTAAGGACAGATAGCGTGAGCCAAGGATCTCATATCCAGCCAATCTGCCCTTCAAGTGTAAGGGACGCAGGAAAACCAGTACTGGTGTGCAAGATTGAGGGAAAAAAAATCTGCCTGTTTTGCACGTGTTTTTCCCGAGAAATCCGCCCGAGAACCCCAGCCAGAAAGTCCAGAGAAGCCGACACCGGGCCGGGGTGTGGCACCGAGTGTCCGCACGGCCGCAGGGAGACCAGGGCGGGCCCACGGGCGGACGCCGCCAGCAGGGGCCACGTGCACCACAGAGCACAGGGCGGGAGCGCGAGGGGAGTCTTCGCAAACGCGTTTCACCCGGTGGTTGGAGTGACACCGGTGGTGGCCGCACTGCCACCGCGACCCTGAGGCTGCGGTGTGCGTGGCGAGGGTGGGCAAGTGAGCAGGGACGGTTACCTACGGGTCCTGTTTCCCACGCCCTCGGGAACCAGGGTTCTCGGGGTGGAACGGCCACGTGAGACACGAGACACGGAAGGTCAGGTACATGTCCTGCCGCCCGTGAGCAGGTGCCAACCCCAGCTCCGCCCACCGCGACACTGACGCCGAGGAGGGACGACGGACGCGCAGGTCGCAGCTCTGAAACGCCGCTGCCCGTCAGGGAAGGGCTCTGGAAGCCGGGGCTCCCCCAGCTGGGGCCCAGGCGCGCAGGGGCCCGCTGGGGTCAGGAGGTGCTGGCAGCGCACTCGAGATTTGTCAAAGGGTCCAGGAGCCGCTTCGTAAAGGCCCCCACTGTCCAAAAATGGACAATTTGAACATAAAAAGACCCCAAATCACATTAAAACTCATTCAATACATTTAAATCTGTGAGTTCATAACAAAAAAAACCCCCAATTGGTCACTTTTAGAGGATGATAAAAAACGATTATTTTGAAAAGTGACAGAGAATCGAGCACCGACCTCCAGCCTCCTGCCCGCACATGCGCACTGCGGGCCCGCGGAGACGGGCCCTCCTCTCGCCGGAGGGAGGCGCAGTGGGCGCTGGGCCGGAGCCCTGCCCTCCGGGGTAACGCCAACAGCCGGCGCTGTGCAGGCTGCCAGCGTGGAAGGGGGCCACGCCCCGGTGACCCCGACAGAGCAACTGCACACCCCACGGAGGAGACTTACCGGAGGTCACACCTGAGTCTGACCAAGTTCCGGCGGAGCCAACGGCGGACACACAGGGAGCCGAGGACGCAGGAACCTTTCGCACCGGCCAGGGGACCACGATCAGCGAAATCTGGGCCTCGTCCACCAACGGTGTCCCCGGGAAGTGGCGGGGACGACAAGAGACTGCAGCGTCACGCCACCAGGCAACGCTGCACTGTCTGGAGGTGAAACCGTGAGCACAAGCGGGAGAGTGACCGCCAGCAAAGGGAGGTGGGTGGCGACTCTGTCGGCAAGGAGCGGGGGACCGACTGGGGCCGCGGCGACGGTGACACGAGTGTGCCCACCTTATAGTGATTCCTCAAGCTACACACGGACTCTGTGCAGTCCCCACGCCCGCTGCACGTCAGAAGAAGGCAGCTTTACTAAAAACCCTCGAGAAGCTACACTGCGGAGGGCATCCTGGTGCAAGGGGCCAGGGGACCGACGCGCAGACGGGGTGGGGCTGGGGGGGGGGGGCCCAGGAACAGTCCAGGACACGGCGCGCACGCCACCCGAGTGTCCCTGCCCGAGACGAGACGCCGCAGGGGGCAGTGACGAGGGTCTGCAAAGAAGAGCTGCCGGGACGACGAGGCCCGGGGAAAATAACCCCCCGCTCACGCCACCCCAAATCAACCCCGGGTAGATGGCCGCTACAGGAAAAACGACGGAGAACGCAGGAAAATATCCTTGTAAGCTTGATTTAGACCATAGGGCTAATCTCGAGGGAAGGTGGGTAAATCAGGCCACGCCGAAGGTACAAAACTTGCCGACTGCGCGGCTCAGTAGACGGGGCGTGGTCCCGAGGCCTCCGTCCTGCCAACCGCAAGGCTACCGGTTCGATTCCCAGTCAGGACACGTGTCTGGGTGGCTGGGTCTGGCCCGGTCGGGGGTGTACGAGAGACAGCCAGTCGATGTTTCTCTCTCACATCGATGTTCCTCTCTCTCTCAGATAAAAATAGTAATAATAAAAAAGTCTCAGGTGAGAAAAAGGAGGGGTTCAGGGACAGGGACGCGGATGCAGCGTGCCGGGGACCCGGAAGTGTGGGGGCCGGAAATGAGGGCGGCGGGCAGGCCCGAGTCTGCGCGCGCGGCTCCCTGGGGCCGGTCGTGCGGCCAGACTCAGGAAAACACAGACCCGAGAAACGTGGGCTCCCACAGCTCGCGCCCTCGCGTCCTGGCCTCCAGGCCACGCCTGCCCTAGAAACCCAGGGGCGACGCGAGGACGGACCATCCCAGCTCCAGAGACCGTGCGCTCTGGGCCGAGCCGCCCCGAGCGAGAGAGAGAGACTGGACGCCGCCTGGGCGCCTGCGCACAGAGTGGGCGGGGCCTCTGCCCACGGGGGCTGGGCGGGGGGCTCCCAGGAAACCTCGCGGGGAAGGAGCGGGGAGTCGGACTGCAGAGGAGCCGGCCGAGAGAAAGCAGCGAGTGCGAGCACAGGGAAGGGGCGCGCTGACCAGACCGCTGCCCCTCAAGCGCCCACGGCCCCATCCTCCCGTCTGCTCGCTCTCCGAACCCCAGGCAGGACGGGGCCGAGCACAGACACACCCCGGGGCCCGGGTTCCGGAACCCGCGGCGGGTGACGAAGTCCGCGGAGGCTCCAGCCCCTCACCGGAAGGACACGGTACGGATGACTCGTGAATCAAGTGCGGCGCTAGGGGCGCCGGGGGCACCCCGCAGTCAAAGCTCACAACTAGCTTCGGACGCCCCCAGATACACTGCCCACATCCGGCCGCTGACCAGAGGTGCGGTCAGCAACCCACACAGCCCACCCACGCCCACCCCGGCCGTGTGCTGGTACACTGCGTCCTCACGACGGAGAAGAGAAGAGAAAACCTTAGGGGAACCGTAAGAAGGGAGAGGACACTGGCAGGATTTACTGGAAAAAACGCACGCGTGGGCGGACCCTCCCAGTCCACGGCCCCGCTGTCCGAGAGTCCGCTGCGTCTGCGCACGGCCCCCACACGGGCCCCGGCGAACCTGGGGTCGCCTCGGGGGCCCTCGCGACACCGAACACGACGGCCACCGCCGTGCCACCGCGCCGCTCAGGGAGTCCTGCCGACGAAAGAAGCCCGCAGGTGTTCAGGGTGGGCACCACGGGCGGCACCGCGGGCGGAAGGAAGCACAAAGTGCCCGTCGGCGAGAACGCTGACGTCGCACGAGGGTTCTCCAAGTGCTCGCAGACGTGGGACACAGGGGGCGACACGCTGCTTCCCGAGGGGGCGCTGCAGCAGCCGCTCTGCGCACAGAGCCCCCACAGCGACCCTAGGGACAGCGACGGACCTCCGAACACCTCTCCGAGGCCTCAGGAACGCTCTTCACGCGGCGGGACTGCTCACGGGCCTCCGCCGAGCGCCCCGTGCAGGGGGCTGGCTGGAGCAGGTGTGCGTGTCTGGCGCCGCCAGGTGACCGCCCGTCAGGGGGACTGAAAGTCTGAGCCTGCTTCCAATGTGGGGGTGACCTGTGTCCTCCCAGACCTCCCGCGGGGTCCCAGGACGCCTCTGACTGGTCGCAGGGCCTTCCCCGCGGAAGCGTTAAGCAGGGACAAGCAGACGTAGCCCGAGGGCTGCAGACGGCGCGCCCCTCACGGCCCCCCCAGGGGACACCCTCGGGTGTGCAGTCGGACTCCCGGCGAGCAGACCCCGCCCCCAAGGCAACGCGGTTCAGTCGGTTCAGTCGCCGGACGCGGCTCGTCCGCGGCAAGTCCGGCTGATTCGGAGCAACAGAAAAAGAACACTGCGTCGTCCTTCCTGGTCTCCTGAACTCCATCGCCGTGTAGTACAGAAAACGCCCCAAAACTAGTGTTCCTCTACAGAAAGACACACGGAGGCCCTTGTTTTAGTTGGCAAGCTGGCCTCGGTCGAGTCTAAAGTGGGTCTTTAAAGACGGTGCACTTTGAAGTCATCCAAAACAGACCGACTTCCCGTTTTCACAAGCACGAGAATGCCAGCAGGAGGCTCAGCTCGGCAGGCACCCGCTCCCGAGACGCCTGTGTGCGCCCAAAGCCGCCCGAAAGGCCGAGACAGCACGCAGGGCCCGCGGTTCTCGGAGGCCAGGGAGGCGGCGGTCACGGGAGAGGGAGAAGAGAAGCGGCGCAGGTGCCCGGGTTTGCTGGGGCCTAGGAAAACCACCGCCATCGGCAGAACGTCTGAGATCCTGCCGAGCGACTCGCTGTTTGTATTGGCTAAGGCTGAACGGCCGTATCCAGACACACGCACCGTAACTGGAGAATTTCAAAAGCCCGTTCCGACGGGGGTCGCGTCTCAGCTGCTTCCTAACCCTTGCACACAAGGCCCCTGGCTGCTCTTCCTGGAAGTGCCCGTGCGAGTGAAACACATCCAGCGAGAAGTTCTAAGAAACATACTTTGCACGGCAACGCGCTGTCGGGGGCAGAAGGCGAGGTGCCCCGAGGAAGGCGGGCGATCAGCACCTGTCTCGGGCCGGAGGAGCCGCCCTGGCCGCCTGCCCGGCGACCCCCACCCGACAACCACTCCTCTCGGGCGATCTCCGTCCGGCCCGCCCGCCGCCCGGCCCCTGCAGAAGCGCCGCTCGCCTCGCGCCGCAGACCCCCGAGCGCTCACTCTTGCCTGCGGCACCCACGGGAGCCCTTCCTTCCGCGCGCGCCACCCCCGTCGTCCCCGCGGCGGCGGCGGCGGAGGGGACCGCACCAACTTTTACCACTTCAGGTGTTTGGTCCGCAAAATCCTGCTGTCCGGAAAACGTGCCTCGGCGGCGACCGTCTCGCCGGTCGGCTCGCCGGGCCCGCCTCTCGCCAGCTGTCACCCGGGGCCAGGGCTGCGACCGGAGGCAGGCCCGGCGCTGGAGACATCGCGGCCCAGTGGGCGGCCCGGGCGGGGTTCAGGCCACGGGAGGCCGCGTCCGCCCGGCGGCCGACGCCGGCCCGTGCCCGGAGCAGACAGTATTGCGGGGGCGCGGCCACAGCCTGGCCGCCGACCCCGGCGCGGCTACCGACCCCAGCTCCGACCCCCGGCCCGGCCTCCGACCTCGGCCACGACCCCCGGCACAGCCCGGCCCCGACGGCCGGGTCCGGGCGCGAGCTCGTGGCTGAGGAAGAGCCGGCTCCGGCGCGCACTCACCGAGGGCGCCGGGGTCGAGCGGCGGGGCTCCCGCCCGGTGCGGGCCACGGACGGTGCGGGCGGACGCCCTTCTTCCATTCATTAGCCGCCACGGCTTTGTCTGCCCCCGCGGCCCCTCCCGCCGCCTCCGACGCCCGCCACCCGCCTGCCCGCGACGCCGCCGGACGCTGCGCCCCTCCCAGGGCCCCGCGCGGCGCTGGGCGGGGCCGTGGGCGGAGCCGGAGTGCGCGCGCGCACTGCACTGACGGAAAAAAAGCTGAGCTCGTCGCGCGGCCTTCCGCCTGGCTCCACCCAGCTCCCAGAACCTGCGCAGAAGACTTCCGGAGCGGCGGTGCGCAGGCCGGACGGTAGACTGCGCAGACGCAGACCGTGCGCGCCAGCCCCGCCCTCAAGTTGAGCGGAACGTCCTGCTCAGGTGCAAGTTCGCACTTTGGTCTCTCTTCTGCGCGGCGAGATCGGCCACGCAGGCGCAGTGCCCAGAGCGTCGGCTCCGATCCGAGAGGACCGGGCTTATTACTCAGGTGCAGGTTCCCTCCCCGGCAGGACCGACCATGCTCTGCTGTCTCCAAGCTTCTGTGCCCCAGCTGGAGGGTCCCTGGGCCCTGGCGGCGCAGTTGGGCGCTAGGTTTAGCCAGCTGATGCGCTTAGATGTGCCAGGCGTGGTCCTTTTTTCGCGCGTTCCGGGCCGCGGGACCGGCACTATATCCGGCGGGCCTCGGAGCGCCGGAGCCGTGGAGGCGGGAAGCCCACCTGCGCGCGACCCGGTGCCCCGCGCGCCCTGAGCGGCGAGAAGCAGCGCCTGGAGGCCGGCTTGCCCGGAAAGGGCACTGAGTGCCCTGCTTCTTGCGCACGGGCCCCGACGGCGATGAGGTCCTTCCCTGCGCGGCCTCGTTCTCTGTAGAACAGGGATCAGAACTGAATCCCTGTGTGTGCCATGGAAAAGGACCGTACACTGCGGTGGCCAGCAGCCCGGAGGCCTTGGGGTGGCTGGCTGTGGCTTCGGAGCAGCCAGCCCCGTGGGTGGGGAGGCCCAGCGGCAGCAGGTTCTGACCACAGGGAACGCGGGCCCCCTTTCCGCATCTGTGAGAAGTATGAGTGTGCAATGTCCAGTTTCCTGATGCACGTTTCTGTGCGTGCCAACTACTTTCTGCAGGCTGAGTTGGGTCCAGAGGCCGGTCCTTTGTGACCTCGTTTTGGACTACAGCTTATGTTGTATGGAAATGAGATAAATGTGTTCAGTTTGTAAGTGTCAATGTAGTCATCAGGAAGTCGTTCACTCAACAATTACTGGCCTACTTTGCAAGGTGAGCGCATGCGCCCTTCCTGCCCAGAGCCCTCCGTGGCCCTCAGTCCGCCCTCCACAACCCCCTGCTCTGTGGCAGCACCCCGTAGCCCACTAGTTCAACTCCAGCCTCAGGCTCTTTGCATGACTGAGCCAGGCACGGAGGAGTTTAGGACCTTCTCACACCCTTGATAATTTACTTATTTGTTACCATAAGTCAGTGGCAGCATTTTTTTTTTTTTTCCCTTTCTCACCGAAGGCTTCTCCTTCTAGAGTGCTGCCTAGCATAGAGCAGTGCTGGGTGTTTCTCCTAGAGCTCAGGGGGCAGCCAGCTGTAGTGCAGGCCTGGCCACGCCGGCTGCCTCTGTTTGTGTGGCCCCCCAGCAAAGATGTTTTCTCATTTTTAAGTGCATGGGGCAGGGGCAGGAGTCAAAGGACTAATTTTTCATGACCTGTGAAGATTATACCAAGTTGAAGCGGTCTGGGTGCCCATGTCCCCGACGTCGCCCGGCCCACAGAAAACCCCCCCCCCGATGCCTACGTGCCGGCAGGCTCCTGGAGGCCGTGTTGGGGGCTGGAAGTGGGGCAGTGAGGGCAGGTGCCAGCGCCCGCCTCCGGGTGGCCACGGCCCCCAGGGTGGAGTCGGGCAGTGACATCAGGTGAACCCCAACACTCCCCACTCTGGAATCCTCCCACACGGGGGCCAGCCCCCACCCAGACATCTTCATCCCGGCCTTCTCCCAGACGTCTCCAGCCTCCTGTGGTGGGTGGGGCCGGGAGGGGAGGCTCCAGTTCCCCCAGGACTAGCAAAGAGGAAGTGCCCTTCAGCTTCCTGTTTGAACAGTTTTTGTCACTTTGTGCCATGAAAGGCGGAACTGCGGGCTCCTGTTGTGGTTGTGCAAGGTGTGCCACTGTTTCTCTCTGGGGGCTCCTGCCTGGAGCAGCCCTCCATTTTTGGGGACACAGCTACAAGAGCCTTAACCAGAGTGGAGTTGGGCAGGGAGCCAGGGCTGGCCTCCCAGGGGCCTGGGCCCCCCAGGGTTTGGGTGCACTTAACCAGCTCTAGAAAGTTTGCTCGTGGGCAATGTCCACTTTGAAAACAGTTAGATGTAGCCCTGGCTGGCGTAGCTCAGTGGATTGAGCGCGGGCTGCGAACCAAAGCATCGCAGGTTCGATTCCCAGTCAGGGCACATGCCTGGGTTGCAGGCCATGACCCCCAGCAACCACACATGGATGTTTCTCTCTCTTTCTCCCTCCCTCCCTTCCCTCTGTAAAAATAAATAAATAAACCCTTAAAAAAATAAAACAGTTAGATGTGTGTCTTGCCCAGGTTTAGAATACAAGCCGGCAGATTAGGAAAACGACCATCCAGGCCTGTCGTGGCCGCACACCGTGGCGGGCGGGCCCCGGGGCCACATCACACAGGCGGGCAGCAGCTTCGTCAGAAACACTTCTCAGGGAAGTGTGGCTGCTCGTACACCTTCACAGCCCCTTCTGGTCGTTTCCTCAGAGAGAGTTCCTGGCAGTGCAACTTTTTCATTGAATATTTTACGGACGAAATGATAGATTCACATGCAATTCTAAGAAACAACAACAAGTGCCCTTGTGCGTTAGTTTTGCCCCTGGCCTCCAGGGGAACTAAAGTTTTATAAAGACCCACTAGATCACAAGCAGGACATCGACACTGATACAATCCACCCATCGTGGTTCCTGGTGTTACTTGTGTTTGTGTGTGTATTGAATGCAGTACAATTTTATCCAAGTTGGTTCCTGCATCCACAGGCAAGATACTGAAGAACCCCAAAGGTGAGGGCTCATATTGCCCCGCCCTTTTTTAAAAAGATTTTTTTGAGAGGGTAAGGGAGGGAGAAAGAAAGGGAAAGAAACAGCAATATGTGGTTGCCTCTTGTGTGCCCCCTACTGGGGACCTGGCCCACAACCCAGGCGTGTGCCCTGACTGGGAATTGAACCAGTGACCCTTTGGTTCGAAAGCTGGTGCTCGATCCACTGAGCCACACCAGCCAGGGCTCGTGTTGCCCTTTTTTAACCACACCTACCTCTGGATTGTCCCCACCAGTCACTAATCCCTGCCAACCACTAAGCTGTCCTCTGCCCCTAAAATGTTGTCATTTCAGTTCTTTATAAGTGGAATCACATAGTAAGTAACCTTTGGGAGTAGCTACTTCACCCAGCAAAACTTCCTGGAGATCCCTCCAAGTTGTTGCACGTGCCGATAGTGCGGTCCTCCATATCGCGAACAGCATTCCAAGGTGTGGGCCGGCCAGACTGTTGACACCCACCTGTAGAAGAGCATCTGGGTTGATTCCAGCCTCGGTCTATTACTAATAAAACACTGTGAATGCTTGTGTCTAGGCTGTGGTGTGAACAGAAGTGTCTGTTTCCCTGGCATAAGCACCGGGAGCACACCTGCTGGGTGGTGCAGCACTGGCGTGGCTAGTTTTTGGAGACGCGGCCGAGCCGGCGTCCAGAGCGGCAGCACCACTTCCCCTTCCGCTCTCGCACGGCGCGTGCGCGGTCGAGTTTCCCCACGTCTCCACCAGCTGTTGCTGCGGTCACAAGTTTTTATTTCCATCGCTCTGATGGGTGTGATAGCTTCTCGTGCTTCTGGTTGGCATTTCCCTAGGGGCTAATGATGTCACACCCGTTTGCCTACAACTGATTGGACAGGGCCCACCCACGCTGTGGAGGGCAACCTGCTCTACGCGCAGTCCACTGATGCCACTGTGCGCGGCATCCAAACACACCCTCGCAGACACGTCCAGGACGATGTTTGGCCACGCATCTGGGCACTGGGACCCGGCCAAGTGGACATGCAAAATTAACCGTCACACCCTTCTTACTACCTTTTTAATGTCTGTAGGGTCTGGAGTGATACCTCCTGTGTCATTCTTCAAAATAAAAAGATATATATATATATACATATATGTGTGTGTGTGTGTGTATGAAATTGGTTATGCTGTTACAGTTGCTCCAATCCCCCCCCTTTGCCTGCCTCCCCCTGGTACCCCCTTTCCATCCAGCAGTCCCCCCTTAGTCCATGTCCATGGGTTGTGCATATAAATTCTTCGGTTCCTTCATTTCCTATACTATGCTTAACATCTCCGTGCCCTTTTTGTACCTACCAACTATGCTTCTTAATGCCAGTACCTTCCCCCCATCCTCCCCCTTCCTCCTCCCAGCTGATAACCTTCCCAATGATCTCCACATCTGTGATTCTGTTCCTCTTCTGATAGTTTGCTTAGTTTTTTGTTTTTTTTTATTAGATTCAGTTGATAGTTGTGAATTTGTTGGCATTTTAATGTTCATAGTTTTGATCTTTTTCTTAAATGAGTCCCTTTGACATTTTATGTAACAATGGCTTGGTGATGATCAACTCCTTTAGCTTTACTTTGTCCGGGATGCACTTTATCTGCCCTTCCTTTCCAAGTAATAGCCTTGCTGGAGAGAGTGGTCTACGTGGTAGGTCCTTGCTTTTCATCACCTTGAATACTTCTTGCCAGTCCTTTCTTGCCTGCAAGGTTGTTTTTGAGAAATCAGCTGATGGTCTTATGGGCATTCCTTTGTAGGTAACTATCTGCTTTTCTCTTGCTGCTTTTAAGAATATTTATATTTAACCTTGGGCACTATAATTATGATGTGTCTTGGTGTGATCCTCTTTGGGTCCAACTCGTTTGGGACCGTGTGCTTCCTGGACTTGTATGTCTATTTCCTTTGCCAAATTATGGAAGTCTTCATTCAGTTTTTTCAAGTAAGTTTTCAATTTCTTGCTCTTCCTCTTCTCTTTCTAGCAGCCCTATGATTCAGATGTTGGTACGTTTGGAGGTTCCCAGAAGGTCCTTATACTATCCTGTTTTTTTTTATATTGTT